TGCAATTATTTCAAAGAAAGCACAACTGAAGTCCTGTCCAGGCACTCATGGGAGTGTGTGAGGGCCGAGCATGCTGGGACGGGACTATGCCCACTGCCTGCGCCACTGCTGTGGCACATGTACTAGCCCTGTCTCCTCAGTTCCTCCCATGCTGAACGGGAGTTCTACTCATCAGTCCAGCTTGAGGTTTTTGAGGACCCTTGGCCAAGACACACTTGGCAAACCCATACAAGCCTTTTTCTTGCCTCAGGTCATCAGGAAATAGTGTTCCATGATGTGCCTTGTATGTGTGAGGGTAAATGCTCTCGGATGCCTGCTGAGCCTTTTCATTGGTGGCCCCAGCTCGTAGAATAACGTCTTCAGGCAATTCTGCTAGACCATTGCATTAACTCCCTTTGCACAACATTCTTAATTTACCTGTTGGAACAGATAGTGACTTTTTATTGGAAGCTGATGCTTTTTTGGCTATTTTTGATTATTATTGCTACTATTATCTTAATAATGCAAATAAATGAGATTGAATTCTTATTAACAGAAGTGTAAGTTCATTGCCAAGAATAAAATATGTCAAAGTCACCATAAAAGGAATGTGCTGAAATGGGCCCCACAACTATTTTTACACAAAAGTGGACTTTACAGACAATTTTTCCAATTGCATTCATTTTAGTTGTCTCTAGAACTTAGAAGGTGGGATGCAAAATGTTTCACTGCTAAGTATAGAAATGTCTATTTTTGCTGACTACTTAGCATTTGGTGTTTCTGAGCAAGCAAATTGCTTAAAGTACTCATTAATTAACTTCAATTAATTAGCATTAATGGCAATCAGTCATCTAAAACCCTTAGTGGTAACCACAGCTTGTATTTTTGTTTAATGTAATTATCTGTATTAATTTATCTGATGCACCAATATCAAGTCCCAAATAATCTTCCAACTTTGAGTTCTCAGTTCTGAATGCACTTAATCATGAATAAGTGACATTCAGCTAAATGGATTATAGGACTTATTAATGGAAGGGCACTGTGAAGTTCACCAACCTTTAAATACAGAATGCAAAACCACAGATCTCATGTACTTTTATCTTCTTTGATGTAACCTGGATCTTTTTCCTAGGATTCAGTGCTCACTGCAGTTTGGCCAGCCCTGAACTCTAAAGACACCATAGGGTAAAAGGTCAAATGAATAAAATAAAAATATTGACTGTGTTAATATATTGCAAATGTTCTTCGCTAAACCTTGTAGAAACATACAACTGTCTTTGAAAAGTCTAATGTGGATCTCACTAAACTTTAGGGTTGTTTTCTGAAAATGCATTGGTTTCAAACCAGGAGAGTTCTCATCTGGTTCTGGAATTGTTGCCTTTGGTTGCTCCTAAGATCTCTCATTATGTCCCATTGAACAGCTTATCAGCACTGTCAGCATTATATGATACGTTAGCATTGTTAAACTTTTCTTTAGCATTAATGAATTTTTATGGTAAACTCAAAACACTGTTCATAAAATGATCTAATAAATTGCCCTAATAAAATTTGTCATAGGAATTAATCAGGGCGTAAAATGACTACGGTGCACTAAATTTCTTACCATTTGATTTTTCTTTAAAAATGTGTTGAATGAAAATTTATGAAAACAATTAAACCTGTCGCCAACAGAGTTAGATTCTGTCCCTGTAGTTTAAGGTAACAGTAAGTCACTAACAGCTACAAGATTATAACGTTAACATGTTATTCTCATGGAGTGTTATATCACACCCATAAATTACCACTCAGCAGTCCATTAATTCCAACTCCTTCTCAGGGATGGAGGCTTTGTTTCTCTTGCTGCCAAAGCTCCATTCACTTCAGCAGCTTGTTTTTCTGATAGGATTGCCACAATGGCTAACAGACCAAGAGCAAATTAAATGCAGGCCTTGAAGCATGCCATGTGTAAGCACAAAATAATCATGCCAGATTGCTCAGAAAGAGCAAGAAAACATTTTTACCTGCCTTAGCTGATTCTAATCAGCAAACTGTCCATCATTATGATGGACTAGGTAAGGCTTTTGTACTGACTGCTTAGTGCAAATCAGTGGAAACCTATTAGGGGACCCTAATAAATGAGTCTTCATCAACTGGTGATGTGAGTGGCAACTAATTTTACTTTTGATATGAAAGCCAGTGGAGTGGTATTGGCCTAGGACATTGTTCAAATCTCCTTTTCTTCATGATGTCAGTTAGGTGATCTTCGGTTGCAATGTTTTGGTCCTGCCTACTTCACAGGGCTGTTGTAATAATTTAAAGCAGCACCATCATTATTATTACATTGTGTTAGTAATGCTTGTATCAATAACCTGTTTTCTTTTTGTGAGGAACCCAACAAAGCTTACATAGCTCCGTTTTATCCTCAGAACAACAACCCTGTAGAGTAGGCTGAACTGAACCCAGTGGGCTTCACAGGCAAGGGGGACTAGAACCAGGATCTCCGAGGTCCTTAAGTCAAGCATTCTTAACCACTACAACAACACTGTTTTGAGAGAACGATTTGTTACCCTGAGTTCTTCAGGGAATGGATGGGATCAGAATATAAATATACATTCTTCTCTCCCTCCTCTACTCTCAAGAAGCTCATGAGAGCATACCCGGGTGTTGCATACATCAAAGCAGATGTGATAAATTAGGAAAGGTACCTACAGAGCAGAGAGAAAAATGCATGTAGGCAGTGCTGCTTCATGACGGTGAAATGCATACAAAACTACACACGATGTAATGATTGCCACCAATTTGAATGGCTGTACATGGAAACATTAATGAAGACTAGGGCTAGCCATTGCTACTAGTCCTAACGGTACTCATAAAATAAGTGGAAGGGGCCAGGAATGCCCTTTGGTCCAACCCCTTTCTCAATGTATGACACTAATTAAACCATCCTTCTCAGATAGCTGCCCAGTTGAATGCCTTCAGTGTGGGAGAGCCCACAACCTCCCCAATAATTGGTTCCACTGTCGTATTGCTCTAACAGTCCAAAAAGTTGTCTTAGTGTCCAGCCAGAATCTGCTTTCCTGTAACTTGAGCCCATTGTTCTATATCACACTCTGGGATAATCGAAATGATCCCAGCCCTCCTCCCCTGTGACCCCCTTTCAGGTACATCTCAGTGTTCCCTTCGCAAGGCTATGGGTGCCACTGTGTGTGCTGGTTTGAGTGCTGGACTCTCTGGGGACCCAAGAGATCTGGGTTCTAGTCCCCATTAAGTCATGAAGCTCACTGGGTGAGCTTAGGCCAGCCAGTTGCTGTCTGCCCAACCTATGTCACAGGGTGGTTGCTGTGAGAATAAATGGAGCTATGCAAGCTGTGTTGGATTCCTCAGGAGAGAGAAAAAGGTGGGGTATTAATGTAAGGTAGCGTGCGGGGGCGGGGGGATGATGATAAACAAGCCCAATTCTTACAGTCTCTCTTCACAGGGCTTTGTTTCCAGTCCCCTGATGATCTTTTGTTTTCCTCCTCTGAGCTTTTTCCAGCTTGTCTGCATCTTTCTTAAACTGTGATACCTGGAATTGGTCGCCGTACCTAAGATGAGATGTAACTGGTACTGAGGTGAGCTAGTACTTCACATGAATTGAAAGTGATCCTTCTATGAATGCAGCCCAAAATAGCACCTGCCTTTTTTGCAGAGACATCACATAAATAATATTCTACATAAATAATATTCTGATCTACAATTCCAAGATCTTTCTCTCTTGCAGTATTGAGCCAAATATCTCCCATCTTGTTAACTGCACATTTGGTTTCTTTCTCCTATGTGCTGAACTTATTACATATCTCTATGAAATTTTACTGTTTCCAGCCCCGTGCTCCAACCTAGTAAGTTCATTTTGAACCTGGCTGTTTCCCAAGGTATTAGCTAACCCACTCAATTTTGTGTCCTCTGCAAAACTGATAAGCATTCTCTGGACCTCCTCATCCAAATAGTGACCAACAGTGTTGAAGAGCACCGGGCCCAGGCTTGACCCTGCAACACCATACTTGCTATGTCCCCAACATTTGAGGTGTCATTGATAAGCACTCTCCAATTCTGTAGCCAACTGCTGTAGATACTGTTTGACTGGACCTGGGAGATCCGGGTTCTAGCCCCCACTCAGTCGTGGGTGACTTTGGGCTAGTTACTCTCAGCCTAACCCATCTCACAGGCTTGTTGTAAGGATAAAACAGAGCTATGTACGTAAGTCACTCTGTGTTCCTCACAAAAGGGAAAAAGGCAGGCTATAAACATCATAGATGGCTCTATGTCATTCCTACCAACACCAGTTGCTGGGGAATGTGGGATAGGCGGTGCTGTTATGTTCCAGGCCTCCTTACGATTTCCCGTGAGCAGCAGGCTGGCCTTTGTGAATAAAAGGGCTGGACCCTTGCTCTGATCCAGCACAGGTCTTCAGATGCATCCTGTGAGCATAGGCCGTTGTGTGCGCAAAATAATCAGAAGGGCCATGCCAGCACAGGAGGATTTAATGTTATTTATTCTATGTCTAACCCATCTTTTTACTTGCAAAGATTATGCAATCTTCCTCCTCCTCGCTGTCGAGGCAGTGCCTGGCCCAAACTCAGCCAGGGAGCCTCATGGTCGACGGGGGTAGGAACCCGGCTCCCCGGACACCCAGTCCAGCGCTCCAACTATTCCACATCCTGGTTCTCGGGGCAATAAAGCAGCAATTTCATCCGGAAATTCAACCCGCCGCCGCCTCGCTGAATGGGCCTCCGTGACGGCCGCCTTAAGAGGCGGCAAATGAGATGTCCGTTTTTGTTAAAAATAAAAACAAACCCCTGATTCTTATTCTTTTTCCATTCAGCGGAGCGGCAGCATAGAAACAACGAGACTTCCCAGCCGGCTCGGCAGGCCAGCGCCGCGCCCGCCATCATCATCCCTGGCGCGCGCCCCCGCAGGGGAGGGCGCGCGCGCCCACGAGGCGGGCGCGCGCCGAGGGAGCTGCAGTCGGCGGCCATCTTCTCGCAGGAACCGGCTGATCCCCCGCCCCCCCGGACGCTGCCAGTGAGCAACGCCGAGCGAGCCCCTTTGCCGCTCCCTGAACTGGAGCCGCGGGGCGCTGGGGAGGCAGGAGAGGGAAGGTGCTGGGAGGCGGGGAGGAGAGGAGGCCTGCCCCCCCCCCCCGCCCGCGCGGGTGTCTCTTCTGAGCGATAGGAAGCAAGGCGGCAGGGAGTGGGGGGCGCTTTCGGCGGCCACGGGGTGGGCGTGAGGCTGGATCGGGGGCTTTCGCCTGGGGTCGGCCCCCTCTCCAGCTCCCGCTTCCCTGGTCCTTTTCCCTGCCAGTTCCGGAGGCCGGGGCTGCTCTCTAGATGGGAGGATAAGCTGTAACTATGTTCAGCTTTGAAGGGGAATTCAAGACCAGGCCCAAGGTGTCCCTCGGAGGAGCCAGCAAGAAGGTAAGCCCGCCTCGTCTTTCCCGTGCCATGTCTGGCCTTTGCTGTTCGATGCCCAGCGCCCCTTCCCAAGCTGGCTGGGGATCTGCGCGCAGCTCCTGGTGGGCCCCTGCCCGGCAGGCGTGACTAAGGCTTAGCCGAGGAGCCCTGGGTTGCCTCGCCCGCGTTCTCCTGCTGTCGCGCCCTCCCCTTCACCTTTGCTTGGCCAGAAACAGCCCCCCTCCCAGCCCCCCAGCCCGCCCGGGGGGCCCGCCGGAGCTGCGGTTGTTATCCACGCAGCGCGCTGGTGACTGGGTTAGTTTTGGTTGTGATAAGGAAGACGCCTGGAGAAGGGTTTCCTTTGCAGCCCTGGCTTGCCCTTCCTTTAGAGTGATCCTAGAAAAGCTAGGCTTAGAAAGGGAAGCCAAGATGGGCATGCGTTGGGTTCCAAAATATATCCAAAAACACCTTGCAGAGAAAGGCTGTTGCCCATTTGGGAAGCTTCCTCGAAATTCTCTGGAGCCCGGCAAGTGTCTGCTTAAGAGTTGTCAGGTCACCGTTGTGTTACCTCCCACCAACTTTTCTTCCAATTGGTGAAAAAGTAAAGCTGGGAGGGCAGAGGGCAGCAAGCTGTAGGCCTCTTGCTTTGTGGGACTAGAGTGTAAAGTGTGGGGGAGGTGTACCAGGTTTTTTGCTGGGTGAGGGAGGGATGACTTTTAAAAAATAAGTTCCTGCATTGCCTTCCTGAATTTTACAGGATACTGATTTCCTGAATTGTTTTGTAACACATTTGGGAGACACCTTGACTAGATTTCTGAAGTAGATTAATTAGCAAAGGATGCATTTCCTTTTCATTCAGATTTCTATTTTTCCCCATCTTTTTGATTTGCATTTTTTTTTAAAGAGCACTCTTTAGTACTGATGTAACAAAAAGGCCCACCAAAATATGCATGAATGATAAGGCAGCTGCGCCTAGTTCCCAATTTTGTTATTTAAAAATAAGCATTTGCAGTGGAATCAAATGATCTTGTAACCCATATTTCCTGTAAACCAGTTTAGATTTGTGTGTGTTTTGAAGTACTGTAATTCAACAGTGGCACAACTGAAACTTGGCTTGAGTTCAAATCTCTGTTCTAGACTCACTTAAAGGACCAATTTTTGTCACTAGTTCCCAAGTTCAGTCTTCTGAGCATTCAGTGGGAGTAAAAATGCTTGCAAACCTGGTGCCCTCCAGGTGCTTTAGACCTCAGCTGCCATCATCCTCTGTTGGCAGCGCACATGGTCAGATATACTGGGAGATAATTGTCCAAAAAAAGGGGAAGGAGCAGGTTGGCCGTGGCAGCCTCATAGGCTGCAGAGGAATAAAATCACCGCTTTTCTGGAAGCAATATAAGTCCAGTCATTCCTTATTCAATGTTAACTTTATTGCAGGTGTGTGTAAATTTGTCCATCATTTAGGGTTGAGTTTGGCCTAAAACCACAACTGGTCAGGTTAGTTTAAAGCTAACCAGGTAACACATCTAAGATCTCATGACATGATGGGGATGCTTATTTGAATGCTTAAAGTAGTATGTCAGCTAATAACAGCAGGATTATTGGGGAATCTGTGTAATCTGTCACAAATGTTACATCCTTCATTGATAATGCAATACAGTACTATCTAAACCAGGTTTTCATGACAATTGATTATTGGGAAGCACAACCAGGAGGGTGGTATTTCACTCATGCTCTGTTTGTGGGGTCCTGTGGGCCGCTGGTAGGCCACTGTGCGAACAAGATGCTGGACTGGTTGGATGATGCTTGATGATTCTTCCTTTTCTGAGATTGTCATCTGCAGGTTTAATAGGTATTTGAATCAATCCACCCCCAAATTGAACAAGTATTGCAAAGCAATGATTTTAACTTCATAAGCATCGATTACTATAACCTTTCTCCAGGGAGCTCCGGATACTTTGCAAAATCTTTCAGAGCAGGGATTCTCAAACTTTTTCACCAGGGGGCCAATTGAAAGGTGCTGGTGCTGGGCACAGGGCGGAAAGGTGGTACCGGTGGAGCGTGGAGGCGGACGGCCGCTGAGGCAGGGGGCATGGCGGGCGTGCATGGCGAGACACGGGCGGGTGCAGCGAGGGGTGGCGAAGCAAGATGGGGGCGGGCAAGCAAGCTGCCTCCCTGCGCGGGGGGCAAGGCAGGCGTGTGTGCGGTGTGTTGAAAACCTCTGAGGCGGGCCGGATAAATGGCCATGGCGGGCCGGATCTGGCCCCCGGGCCGTAGTTTGAGGACCCATGTTTCAGAGCCACTTTCATCTTAATAATTTACACTGTAGGATGGCTTAAACTAAGTGTATATGCAAGGAGATTGTTTAATTGTCAACTTAAGGCACACAGTGAGGCCTCCTTTGCTCTAGTCTGACCCTCTACCCACTAGACCAGGGTGGGCAGCTTGTAGGTCAAAATGCCCGGAGGGCCAGAACTCCCAGCATCCCTCATTTAGTTCTGGGATAGGTTGCAGGACAAAACATTTGAAGGACCGCTAGATGCCAATACCTGCACCAGTCAGTAGTTTTCACCACTGATGACTCCTTGGGTTCCTATTCGAAAATGCTGCAATTATGGCTGGTAGGCAGTGGGAGAAATTTTACTTTGCTGTTAGGTTTGCCTCAGACTACTACAGGATCGAGAGCAAGCTGCTCTAACTAACCAATAACAGAATGATCCAGTTGGCACTTCATGACTACCCAGAGATTGTTTAAATTGTGGGTAACTGGGAGTGAGTGAGCACACTGCTGTTGTGCTCTGCATTCCCCAAGCTGAAACTTTGTGTTGTTGAGGGAGAAATTCCATGGTTTGCTATGCTGAAACTATGGATTGCCAGGTTTGCATATCATGGAGCATAACCTTGGAATAGGACCACTCAGGTTGTTTAACAAAACAGTGGTTGGGAGGCACCACATGCAGTCTCTCCTGCACAGACCTGATGACCCATGGTTTAAATAGTGTGTAAGGAATTGTTACATGTGAAGTGGGTCAATGATGTAAAGGTAAATTGCCATTGGTGCTGTGACATTCTTGGAATGTTAGACAAGTCAGGATATGAATTGCCTTCCCTATTGTGCAAATGTCAGTTGCACTTTTACATACCTAGATTCAAAATTACTCAGATTAGAGATACCTAATATTTATATAGGACCATAGGCAAAATAGGTATACTGTTTAACATAATTAGTAGGAAATCCAAAGCTCCAACTTCCATTAAAGAAGATGAAAGGGAAAATATATTCTATAGCCTGGCTCACACAGGTCCTGTTGCAGAGTGAATTGATTTGAATTGTTTTGATTTAAATCAGCAAAGTCAAGTTTCCCATTTTGAAATTCATGTCTGTCATGTAAAGGATGGGGGAGAGGGCATTGGAATGAGAAGCCATTTAAATGTGTGTTATTAAAAAACCCAGGAAAATGCTATGGAACCATTCATATATGTTTTTAACCCAATAATGTCCAGCAGCATTTATACTACTTTATCATCAATGAGCTGGTGAAATTGTGGGGAAATGGGATAGTATTTTTTGCTACATATTGTGGGAATATAAGGTTATAAAAGTTTTATGCAGAAGGTAGCAAAATTGTGAACTAAAATGGGTTATTGTTGATCTTTGATCAACAAAAAGTATTACACAAGGAAGTTCTCACATGTTTATTAGTGACATCTGAACAAGTTATAAGTAAATTCAGGAAATCAAGTACAACAATATCAACTGACAAATGGCACAATAATATAGGATACATGGATCTAGCAGAAAACTAACCAAGCTAGCAAAAAGACATTCTGGACACTGATGACTTCATAGGAACTTGATATTGAAACAAAAGAAAATATGTCAAGACCAAGCTTGCTTCTTTTCCTGGTTGTACTCAGTTGTTTGGACAACAGCATATTTTTAAGCTAGTCAGTATGATAATCAAAACACATTAATTTTCAGTTAAATGGAACCTGTTTAAAGCTGTGGTCCTACAGGCATTGTAGAATTATGTCAGTTTAGAGATAAGAAGCATATTTCAGTCAGATGCTCCCTATGCAGATATGAGGATACTAAGCAAGTATTGAAGACCATATCTGCTATCGCGTGTGCATGCGTGTGTATGTATGTTTGGAAGTTTGGCAGCTCTGCTGGGCTGGTTTAGACTTACTTGGGTTAAGTTTGAGCAAACATGAGTAGAATTGGGCTTTAAATGTTTAGAACATTTCAGAAACTAGGACTGGTAGTTACTGGGCAAAATAGTTTCTCAAGGAAGTAGAAAGTAAATACTGATGATCTTTGGTAGAATCATAATTAAGATTAACTTGGAGAACAGAACTCATAACTAAATTAAAAAACCTGAAAACATAAAATAGGAAGACCTTTCCCAGGACTTCTATGAGTTATCTTGGTGAGATTCAGGATGCATCTCTTGGGTACCTGAAACATAATGTGGGAAAGGGGGTAGTGGAAAATGCTGCCCTAAATATTTTCCAGTCTTGACATTGGGTAGAAAGGCCCAACTTTTCACCAAGCTTGATCCTATTGCCATATTTCCTCCATGACTCAGTAAAGCGTCTCCTGATTGTAATCTTCATCAGTTCCCAGGAAAGCAAAACTTGTTTTGGTCCTCATCAATCTCCACTACTTGGATTTCTAGTTTTTGCTCTTCCCAACCTTTCTCTTGCTTATCTCTCCAGCATTTATATAGTATTCTCTGTGACTCTCCACCCGTACTCTTCAGATGGAGCACTGTTGCTCTCCACCCCTGCACTTTCTTTCACAGATCTATTTTTTTCGACCGTTCTAACCTTGTAATACTAGGAGCCTGAGATTGCCCAGTGAAGTTGATTGGGAGTAGTTTCAGGATAAACAAAAGATGGAACTTCTTCCCACAACACAATTTGCAAAATTTGTTGCCACAAGATGTCCTAGGTTGCTTTAAAATGGAATTATGCAAATTCCTGGAGAAAAAGTTACCAATGTCTATTAATGGTAGTACCTAAAGGGAAATTTAATTAGCAGAAGCAGTTTACTGCAGAATACCAGTCATTGGCCCAGTTTGCATGCAGTGCTGGAGTGAGTGTGCCACCTTCTAGCCCAGGGGTCGGCATCGTTTAACACTCAAAGAGCCATCTGGACCCGTTTCCCACAGAAAAGAAAACACCGGGAGCTGCAAAACTCTTTTGACCTCTAAAATGAAAATAACACTGCATATATCGTTTTTTACCTTTATGCCATGTATAAAAAAACTATAGTGTGTTGCATTTATGAAACAGATTGGCGGCTGTGCTGTGCCGGCGCGGGCCGCAGATCGGCGGCTATGATGCGTATTTTGAGCAACGGAGCTGCAGCAGAGGGATTCAAGAGCCACGTGCGGCTCCAGAGCCGAGGGTTGCCAACCCCTGTTCTGGCTTACATCCAGTTTGGAATACAAGCCAAGTGTGACCCTCCTTGAGGTTTCTTCTTCTAGGTTATAGAGGAGGAAACAACCCAGAGCTTTAAGCCATGATTTGTTCTTAAGTGCAAAATGGAAATGATGAGCTGGTGAGGGACAGCATGTTTGCTTGCTGCTGCACAATGCCAACCGACCATGTTTTTTTAAAATAGAGACTCTATTTTTTAAATAGAGAAACAACATAGAAAGGGGTTGCCTTTGTATCCTGCTTGTGATCTTTGGGAAGCATCTGGTCAGCCAGAACGGAAAACAGGAAGCTGGATCAGCTGGACCTTTGCTCTGATCCAGAGAGTTTTATAAAGTTTCTAGCACAGAATGAGTCTGAGTGAGGTTTTGGAAGGATGATTTTTGTTGCTACTAGTCTATATAAATGTGTGGTTTACATATTGAAATTCTGATTGTTGTATCAGTATGCATTTTATTCAGGATTTTAAAACTCATCTTTTATTTTACTTGTCTTTGTTTGTGCTTTAACCACTGCAGAGTTAAAATTATGCTCGGTTTCTGAGTCCTGTTGTCAGAGTACTGTAGATTAAATTATCTGTATTTTAACTTTTATTAGTTGGGTATGCTGTTGTGTAATTATTTGATATGGATTTTTAACAGTAATGCATATTTTTATGTTTTATTATGTGAGCTGTCTTGTGAACACATGTTCCTAAGAGACAGCACACAAATAATTATATAAATAGGACATTATTAATATGGGCCTTGCAATGGGTCTTATGCTTACATATGTCTTAGATGGCGTTTCCATTGTGTTAACTCAGTTCCAGCAAACTGAAGCACATTTTCACTGAGTGTAACACACATGGCTTAGCTGCTGTTGTGTACTGTTTAGAGCAGGGTTCCTCAAACTTTTTCTACAGGGAGCCAGTTGACAGAAGCCAGCAGTGGGCGCGGGGCACCAAGGTGATGCTGGTGGGAGGGCACGGGCTGGTAAGGGGGTGGGGTGTGCGTGCATGTGCATGCAAGGCGGGGATGGGGGGTGTATGGGGCGAGGTACCAGCTTGCTGGCGAGGAGATAATTTTCTCTGATCAAGTCCAAAATGACCGCCTCACGAGCAGTCTGCACAAAACCTGTGGGCCTTAGTTTGAGGACCCATGGTTTAGAAACTTATGTAAATAATTTAGATTAGGGCTTAGATCCTTGTCTGATATCTGTGAGCAGTCAAGGGAACTAAGGTTATTAGACAGTCTACAGTTGTAAGAAATAAAGTCCACCAGACCGGATATGGCTTAGCAGTAGTAATGAGGTTATAGATCTCTTGGGTATTCCATTAGATTTCATGACTGATTATTAAGAGGGTTTTTTCAAAACAAACAAACTGGTGGTAAAGTTTGTACAAGTCAAGTGATGTTCGTTCAGTTTTTTCCCCCCATTCCTAGAGTCCCCCCCGGTCCAAATTCAGAACTAGGACACCTGGATAAATAAAAATGTACTTTGTAGTGCAGGTAACCTGTTGAAAGTCCCTGTAAAGCAAAACTAGTAATCATTCAACCTGTCTGTCAAAGCACAAATGAACTTTTCAGTTTTGCTGCTTCTCCAATGGCTTATTCTCCATTGCAAATGTTTACTGGTCTTTTCTAGTCTATATTGAAATATCTAAAATGTGTTCACTTACATTTCCCAGAAAAGAATTCTGAGGATGCCTAGGTCTCCCTAGAAAATTCACCTAGAAATTATCTCCTCGTGAGCAATGTTTGATTCATTATTTACTTAATCCACATATGAACCAAATACTGCCATCAAAAGCTTACATTTTATGATGTCAAGAGGATTTTCATACTTTTAAAAAATGCTTTTAGTTCAGTTCTCCAGCTATATACCCACATAATACCTTAAATGCATTCCATCCTGGTGCTTATATCCAACAGATACTTTCCTGTATCCTTTTCCTCTGGAACAGTCTGTGGTGTGGGAGCTATGGCTTGGCAAAAACAACTATTCATGTAATTCCATAGAGAAAACAATGGGGTAGAACCAGAGTTATATGGAACAGAACTCCTTAAGCCTGGTGATCACATAGTTAGAAAGTGGAGATGCCATTCCTGATAGTTCCTCTTCCTTCCTACAGCCCTTTTATTTTCCTGCAAACATGCTTTGGAGAGTTGGAAAGTCTCCCAGAGCAGCATGGGCAGTGGGGCACAGTGATCAGGATGAAGAAGTCAGCAAAAATCACCATTCCAGTCCCTTTGTCCAGCAAGGAGGCGTCACTCTATCTCAGTTCCTTCTGCCAGTGAAAGCAACCCTTTCATTTGTAGATGTTGAGCTCTGGATCGAGTCCAATGTATGCCTAATCTAGTTCCAAAAATAGAATGCTTAGAAATACACTTGCATGGCAAAAGCTCCTTTTGTCACCATGTGACTTTTTTACCGGCTCCATTTTACCCATGTGATTGGTTCAGCAAAGTGCTAATCATTTTAAATGTTTTTGCAATTTGTGGCCTTGGGAAAATAGGGCGGTATAATGTATATGGAGTTCCTCTCTTCCTTAAAAGTGGCTTTCATTAATTCTCACACATGCAATAAGCCAGAGTTACAGGTTGAGTGTTGTTAAAATGTGGATCATTGTGTTATCGGAACCATGCTGTTCTCATAAACCATAGTTTGTTAACGACAAATAGTCCATTAGGAGAAGCTGTGGTTTGTTGTTGGGTTCTGAACGGGATTGTGGTTAACAAACTATGGTTTGTTACCGTGGGTGGGTTTGAATGGTTCCATGACAACCTCAGTGACAAACCACAATTCAACAGCAGTCCACATTGAAACCATACTCATTCTTCAAGTATGGATTATTGTGTTGTCTGAACCCAGTCATTAAAATAATGCACTTCAGTCATACCTCATATTGTATGTTAAATATGGTTGAGTCTAATTACTCTGTTTAAAATAGTTATGAAAGAATTAAGCCACTCTTATTTGCAACAGATGTCATAAGGTAGATGGTGAATTGATAGAATTAGGCTGCTAATAGTGTTGCTGTGCTATATTGTCTTAGGTAACTTTCTGGCATAATATTGAGGAAAAAATATATAGCTTATTTTGAGAAGGAGATAGATATTTTATACAAAACTTCAAATACAATTGTTCAGCTAGATATGCTATGTTGTGTTTGTTCTCCAGGAGGAAAAGGCATCACTTTTGCATCGTACACAGGAGGAGAGACGGAAACGAGAGGTATGTTATAAGTATAACCTTCTGCATCTGCTCATTGAATTTGCACTGTGTAAGATAGAAATTAAAATGAAAAAATGACAATGTAATAGTATATCAGAGATCTGAAACAAACATTAGATTTCAGATCCTGGTTAAACTTAGAATCTGGGTCACACGAACCATGGAAAAAGATAGTACTTTTTACTTAATTCTATTCGACCTACACAGGAACTTTGGAAGCTGCCAGTCAGACCTCTGCTCCCTGAAGCTCAGCATTATGGGTACTAACTGGCATCAGCTCATTCCTAGCCTAACCCAGAGATGCCATTACTGAACTTCAGACATCTTAAACACCGGTTTTACCACTGAACTATGGATCATTAATCTACTTCTACAAAAGCCAATGATTAGGGTTAACTTGCATGCATTAATAGAATAGTTTGGTGATTTCCTTTTTCAGCCTGATGTCTTGCTGTGTTTGTGGTTCATGACTATCTGAATGCTAAAAATTTCTTTAGCGCTCTTTAGCTTTTCCTTCCTTGCACAACTTTTTAAAAATATTAAAATTCTTCCCATGATGTTGGATCAGCAGCAGCAAGATTGGTTGTAGGGCTGATTCACACATTTGGTTTGCCCACTAGAGCAGCATGTTCTATGGCAATATTTTCATGGCATTTCAGGGTAACACTTCGTAATCAACAGCATTGAGATGTAGTGTCAAACACACCCTTGTGAAGAATTATTGGTATCTTGTGGAATTGGTGATTGTGAATACATTATTCCTAGGACTCCGTGAGTGTTGCATAAAACTCCAGCCATTTCCATAATTTTAATTTGATTGACTTAAAACCAAGGAAGCTTTTTGTGTCCTGGTCCAAAACAATGGCTAACAAGTAATTTGCCCATATGGTTCTGTGTAAAGCTTTGATGCAGAACATGTGCATAACAAACAAAGCACTGTGTATCTGTAGGAATGTATTTTGCTATATATATGTACTTTCAGGTTAGCATAGTGTATCTCTTTCTACTATATATTTTAAAAAATGGAAGAAAGCATCAGTATTCTGTGAATAATAAAATCAGATGCAGCTTTTAAATATGAATATAATAATATTGCAGTGTTGACCTCAGGCTGCAAACATTTGCAATTATGGGTCCCTAATTAGAAATTATGTATTCTTGGCTGAAACCATTTTTGCAGAGTTGACTATAACTGTCTCATGTTGTAATTCAGTTGTATGATATGGAAAATCGGTAGCTGCTTATGAGATCAACTAGTTTTTAAAACAGAAAAAAATAATTGTGGATGTTCCTCTCTTTCCAGCATCTTCCTCTTCTGGCCCACCTGTATGCACTTTTCTCAATTCTGCCAGATATTTCCTGATTCAATTCCTTATATCTCTTGTTTTCATCACTTTTCTATCTCATACAGGTGGAGCCACAATACTTGTGTGTGCATGCATTCTGCCTCGCCTTGTTCTTAGGACGACTTTAGACTTTAGTCTTTATATAATCTGTTCCACCAACGTTAAATCTGTGGATGTTTTAGCTATGCCTGGTCAAGATTCAGGATGCTAACCATGCAATAAATATTGGCGAATGGGGCAAGATTGTACATGGATATAGAAGCTGGGGTGTATTTAGATTGTTATTAGCTGGTCTCATGGACATATGCTGGATAAGATTGTTCTAAAATGTGAAAAAGCACCTTGCTCATCATGGGTAGGAAGACACTTTAATTTTATTTGTGACCCACCCAAAAGATGAGAAATGCCGACATTTTCTAAAGAAACAAACGTGTGTGTGTGTGTGTGTCACATGAGAGTCTCTCCCTGTTTGGCAACTGCATGGTGTTGTGTAGTGTCAGCCCACATTGCAGGGAGGGCTAAGCCCTTGTTTACCCCAGAGATCTTGCCACCCATTGCTCCTCTGTCATACTAATGAAGACAATAAATGAAGATGCTCTTGGATGTGACAGTTCATTTGGTGAACTCACAGATGTTTCTCTTGTTGCTGCTTTGTACTGCAAACTATAATGCAGCAAATTTTATTTTGACCTTTGTCTTATCTCCTTAGGAAGAAAGGAGAAGGCTGAAAAATGCAGTAATCATCCAGTCCTTTGTTCGAGGGTACAGGGACAGAAAACACCAAGTAGGCATTTTCATATGATTGACATTTGCTAAGTGTTTGGGTTTGCCCAGTGGATCCCAATAAGATCAGCCCCACAGTGCCCCGTCAGTATTCAAGCGACCTTCACTGACACAGATGTAGCAGTCACTCACCATGTACAAAAGCAACTTTGGCCCCTGAATCTGCTGTACAGAACTGGTGTTTAAGGAGTTAGGGGAGGTAATAAGCAGTAGTCACATGACAGCCTGGGAATAAGGTGGTGCGTTAGGCACTCTGGCTCTGCTGCAGCAGAATCCTGTCCCAGTGATTCTCTCAATTGGAATGATAGGTTACACTACAGCTTTATGGGACATTATTGTTTCAAATCCAATTATTAATCCACCCCTTTTTATAAAGTCTTGTATAGGGTAGCACCTCAGTGAAAACGAGTATAATCAACAAAATAGGAAAGTGAGTTGAAATAGAAAAATACTATGATATAGGTTGACAGAACATGGTGTTATCTCCTAAGCAACTTTGCATGTAAGCCAGGGTACAAAACTTCACACCCATGGGTCAAATGCAGCCTGTCTGGAATCCCAATCCAGACCTCAGTGGTTCTCCAGGGAGACTGGTTCTTCCAGCCACCAACTCTTTGGTACATTCCTGGCTTTTATGCAGTTTTTTGGCTCTATTCTAAAAGGTTGAAATGCCTCATCTAAGGCTTAGTTACTGGTAGTTAGAACTTGAAGCTAAATTTCCTGGTAGTTTAGTCCTGTCCGTGAATGGAATGTGTCTTCCAAGAGCTGCTCCAAAATGAAATTTGGTCCTTGCGCTGAAAGATGTTTGGTCCCCTTGATGTTTACCAGGGATTGCCCAGCTGAGCATAGGGAGTTGTCAGAAGGCAGTCAAGATCTTATGTGCCCTGTTTTCCATTTTAATTGTTGGGATTGCTATGGTTGCACAGCAGCCTTCAGTGGCAACAGGGGTGGGGAGAAATGCGGGGAGGGGATGCATAAACAGTCATGGTGGCCCAAATTCGGCCAATGTCTGTTCTACAGAAGGCCTGCTTTTCTAGGCATAAGAGTTACGGGGTGATCAGATACTCTAGTGATCATGAATAACTGCACACATAGCCTGTTTTGAGCTTGGTCTCTGTAAATGTGCAATAATATGGGTAATTTAATTTGGAGTGTTTACTTATGTTAATGTTATTTTCAATATGGTAAATCATATAATGCAATACTATCCATCAAAGACCAACACTTCCTATGTATCTGTTTTACTCTTGGCTCATTCTGATTTTCTAATTGAGTCCTAATCTGCTGTTTTAATGTATAGATACTTGCTCTCTTTCCATAAAACTTGTGAGAGCTAATATATACAGACAGTAGTAGGCCTGATTAATCACGTTGTGAGCCGCCCGGAGGTGCCGTGGCACAGTTGGGCAGCATACAAATGTTTTAAATAAATTAAACGTTTTAAGACTTACTGAAAATACCATGTGATCTGAATTTTTGTGCCTGTTATTATTATTAATCCATACCAGACATTTTACTTTGTGTTTGGGCAGGTGCTTGCACAAAAAAAGCTATCAGATTATTTACAAAAATCATTGAAATTCAACATTCAAAGGTTTCTTTAGCCATCTCCACAATCTTTCATTGACTTGTAAATGAAGCCTGCAATATATTTCAATAAATATATTGAAATCCTGCCTGTGCATCTTAAGATCTGACACTAAATTTCATTCCTTTTAATTTTATTCTTTGATTTTAAGTATTCCATTCAGAGGAGTGAATTTGATCACTATGCTAACTTAGCACAATCTGGAGGAAATTTCTCCACTGCCAACGGAGCAAATCTGACTCTCCTAGTTCGTCAGCTTCTGTTTTTCTATAGACATAATGAGGATTCCAAACGTTTGGTAAGAGCTGAATTTTCATTAGAGATTGTCTTTAGTTTCTCATATATTTTCAGTAATTTTATTTTTAATTGCTTTAGTTATCAGTAGCATGTGAATGGCTTCTTTTCATTTTCTTCAATCAAGGGGGGGGGCAAAAGGTAGATTAGAAACTACAGCTTTCTGGGTGAGTGCCATAGATTAGCAAGTGTTTCTCAGGTTATTTATATTGGATTTTTATTCTGCCCCATTAGCCATAAGGCTCACTGAGTGGGTTTTGAAGTTTAAAATATACAATAAAGATAACATTTAACAAAATCTAACAATCCACAAGTAAATACATGCTATCGTAAAAACTTCACACAGCCATCGATTATACAAAACCATCATGAAAGGCGCAACAACAGATAACAACCAGATATACAGTATTAAAACCATTGAGATCATTCTAACAATTACAATATCAGGAAAATGAAAAGGTCTTTCCCAGGCACAATAAAGAATACAAAGAGGGAACCAGGCAAACCTCTCTGGGCAGCTGATTCCCAAGTCAGGGTGACTCTGCCGAGGAGACTGTCCTCCTTGTAGCCGCCCTCATTTCCTGAGGAGGGAGATTCGTCAGAAGGCCTCTGGCAGTGATTTTAAGGGGCCAGGCAGGCAACGTGTGGGAAGAGGCACTCCTTCAGATAACTGTTTAGGGCATTAAGCACAATGAACACCTTGAATTGGGCCTGGACTTCAACTGGTAACCAGTGAAGGTGGTGATGGACTGTCTTTACATGATCATATCTGCCAGCCCTTGTCAGCAGCCTTGCTGCCCTGTTCTGGACCAATTGAAGGTTACAGTTGTTTTAACAATAGCAACTGATGTAAAGGACTCTACCACGTCACATTAGGCTGCTGCAATGAAGCGTGTTTGGTGGGGAAAACTGGAGTGGATTTATGGGTAAAAGAACTGTGGGCTCAGTTCAGCAGAGCATGTGCCTCCAGTAACCGTGTGTCTTCATTCTAGGTGTGCTCTAGTTCCTAAGCTGCTTTCTTTCATTGCAGTTTGATGGGTAGAACGTGGAAATATGAAAAAGTAAATTCTGTAGTCTTGAAGGCTGTCCACCGCTGTCCCACAAAGTGGGGCTTTTCCACTTCCTGCTTCATCAAGAAAGGAAAGAAAATCGGCAGCAGCCTTGTGAGATGTGCTTATCTTGGCCAGAGAATGACATCCCTTAAGATACTGTTGGGGGGGTGGGGAGTGGTGGTACCAGGCAAGAGAAATCGTTCTTCCCTTTTGTATGAGTTGAAGTGCCTTGTGCTGCTGAGTCTGGAGCAGCCTGGAAAATAATTAAACCCTGCAATTTTATGCTGAATATTCAGGATTTGGGTCTTTATAGAAATGGTTTTGCATTATTTTTGCTGAGTATACATTGGAAGGAACCCTGAAGAATGAATTTAATTCTCTTAGTGTGAATCAGAGTGACTAGCTGTCAGGTGTTCAGATAACTATCTACTTCTGAGAGGTACAAGAGAAAAATGTGAAAACTTTTTTGAGCTCAAACTATACATTAAGTGTGCATTTCATACTCTCAATGTATTTTTTCTCTCCTTAAAGCGGCTGCAGGAACTTGATTTGCCAACACACAGCAGTATGAATACAATGCACTTCTACTCACACAAAATGAAAGAGTGATTTTTCTTTCTGAAACCATCTACCAGCACCTCACGGGATCCTGCAGCACAGTTTGGTCATTCCTTCTCTAGCGAATAAATTGGCCTCTGACGGCACTTGTACCTACTCAGTTGTTTAGTCTGTAGAATCCGGCGAGGGTATATGTAGACTTAACCCAAAGGGGTGACCTGTCTGCAGTGCAAATGCTCCACATTCTAAAGATTAGTATGTTGGGCACTGACCTGGCTGCCAAGGCCAGTCTTGGGGCCTCAGCACTCTCACTTCCTCTTTGTGTTTCAGTGTAGGCAACCTGTAGCTCACCACCGTATTCCTGTCACTATTTATTTATTATTTCCAGATCCCACCTTTTTTCCTGCAAAGAAACCTCAGTTTACATAATTCTCCTTGCCATTTTATCCTCACAGCAAGCCTTTGTGGTGGGTTAAGCAGAAAGTCAGTGACTGGCCCAAAGTCACCCAGTGAGCTTCATAGCTAGTGGATGCTAGAACCTGGATCTCCTGATATCCAGTCCAGCATTCCAGCCACTATACCACACTGTCTAACTATCGTTATCCACACACTGTTTTCCCTAAACCAGGTGTCCCAGGGAGTAAGAACAGGAATGGCGTATGATGAGCAAGATGAGTGGGTGGAGCGATCATGTGAGCCTTGGGTCAGGCTCCCAGTGATCAAACAATTACTTGATTATATGCTTAACCTGAGCTAATGCCTTTCTTTGTGGAGCTATACTGCAAGTTGGTGTTGATCAGGCGTAAGGTAGCGGTCTACATTTTTTGGGCATGTGGGCACATTTGGAATTTTGAAGAAGTGTCATGAGTGCCATCACAAAATGACTTCCTTAGGGAATGCCCATTCACAGTGGGTGTGATCCATAAAACTTGCATCTCACAGGAAGGCAAAATGGAAGGTCTACAAGACAAATAATTTGCCCACAATGTTGAGTTCAAGGTAGAGATAGTAACATGCAGTCACTGTTCTGAAGCCACAGTTTGTGTTTTCCCTCTTTTAGGATTGCTTTCCCTTCTCAGGTTCTTGCTACCATTGTTGGTACACTGTATAGTCTTCCCCAGTCTATCCTGTTTCTCTGCAGCCTGGCCCTGGTCATCCTGCTTCCTACTACCTCATACTTGGTTGCTGTGCCTTCCCCTCCACTGCCAGCCTTGGATTTTCATAGATCAGCATCCACTGATATCTAGGCAATATTACAGTTTCTTGGTGCATGTTACTAGTACATGCTTTATATACATATATGCTCTGCCACTTTTCTTGGAGATGTTCATTTGGCTTCTGTTTTTTCTTTTTTCTTTTTTAGAACTAAACTTACTTAATTCTAGTAGATGTTATCTCCTTGCTTTTTCCTGTAGAATAGTAACCTTTCTTATTCCAAAGAAACTGCAGACCTGATTCAGTCTTAAATTGATAAAAGGCTAAGCAGCAGGGGTTTCTTTGATTTGTGTTTCTACTCTGTACCTGTGGTATCAGGTCTGTTACTGTCTAGTTTGCAAAAAACAACATTAATTTGTTTTAACAGTTTTATCTGTGAACATTGTTTTCCCCTTCCAGATTTGGATATGTCAAAACCTGATTAAACAAAATTCTCAGTTTGTGAAGCAGCTTGATGGCCCTGACAGACTTACATGCCTGTTCCAGATAAAAAGGCTCTTGGGCCTGTGTTGCAGGTAAAAATAACAAAAACCAAATTTACTTAGTTCAGAATATAGCATTTTCCCTTAGCTTGATTGGTTTATGTAAGGCTGCAGATTCAATATGTTTTGAATGTATTAAAAGACCAGCTTGAGGTCTTTAGGTTCCAGTCAGCTGCATGAGCAATAGCAGAGAAAATTATACCCTCCATATTCACCAAAGTCCTTTCTTTGAAGCATCTCTAACAGAAAGGAAACTCCTGCATATCACTTAGGGGCTACTATTCTGATGTCATTGCTTTTCAAGTTTCAGCAAATTAGTTTGGAAGCTCATTTTGCTTATTCATTAGGGGAAAAAAAGTTCAGCGCTGTTTGAGTAACTTGTTTCATCTTGTTATAGGTTGCTGCAAAACTGCAATGATGACAGTCTGAATGTTGCACTTCCTATGAGGATGCTTGAAGTATTTTCATCTGAGAATACCTATTTGCCTGCTTTACAAGATGCTAATCGTGTAGTATCAATAATTGAACAAATCTTGCACTACGTAATTCAAAAAGGTTAGTGAAATGATTGGCTTTCAAAGTTGTTGTTGCGTTTATCTTATCTGTTATACTGAAATTTGAATAGGAAGCTCAGTAAAATAGAAGATTGAAAATTACATTCAACTTTAAATATGAAATAGCTGTGTTTGAGTAACATTTACAGTAATGGTTGTCAGTATTAATGTAAACTGTTTCAAGTTTTTATTGTATTAAGCGGTAGGTACAATAAAATAAACACTAAATAAAAATATTTAGTATTGCAGGATTCAGTGGCCTTTCAATAAGTAAATAAAAGTGATTGAAATCATTACCATAAGGCCTATAATGCCATGAAACACTAGATACAGTTGGTGCACTGCAGAGTCAGTGCATTTAAACAGCATGGTTTTATATATGCAAATGCAATTAAATATGCAATATGATTAGGACTGCTGTTCTAAAATCACTGACAAAGGAGAAAGTCCTGCTGACTCATTGGACTTTTGAATAATCATACTTAGGATTGCACTGTTAGTCAGTTTGTACTTCTTAAAAAAAGAGTACATCCTAAAACAGATTTTTTTCTTCTTTCAGGCTACTACAGGTCTCTTTATCTGCTAATAAATAACAAGCTTCCCGCAAGTATTGAGTATTCAGATGTCTCTCGGGTTCCTATTGCAAAAATATTGTTAGAGAATGTTCTGAAGCCATTGCACTTTACTTATAGATCCTGCCCTGAAGATGCCAGGTAATGATACTTTAAGTAATATATAGAGGAACAGAGAGGGTTGTGGAAGTACTAGATCCACTTCTTCTAGTGACGTTTAGTTTTAAAACAGTGGTGTTTCATGGCCTAAGAACAAAAAGACAGGAGTAATAGTACTGATAAACCCTTTGAGTGACACTGACAAATTGATATAGAATTGACAACTCTATTATAGACATAATAAAGTAGTTTGACCTTTTTTTAAATTGGTGGATAAAATATATGTTCAAACCTGTAGCTTGCTTATAGGCATATAATGTATTGGTAAAAACCAGTCTTTACGTTTTCCTTTAAGATAAACTTTTTTTTTACTTGTCACAGGCAACAGATTTTTGCTGCTTTTACAGAAGAGTTCCTGGCAGCACCTTTTACAGACCAGATATTCCATTTCATCATTCCAGCGCTTGCAGATGTGCAAACTTGTTTCCCTTATGAACTCTTTCTGAATGCACTATTATTAACAGAAAGCAGGCGTTCGAGGAAAAGTGAGAGAGCTCCTTGGCTTTTTTACTTTGTTCTAACAGTTGGTGAAACGTATTTAGGTGTGTAAAGCATATTTAATCAGTTTTAAGTATTGATTTATTGTATACTGTGTCAGAAAAACCCAACTAAGTGCTTTACAACTGCTATTAGTACTGTTGCTTCTACATTTGTGGCTATTATTGGGAACACAGGAAGTACCTTATACTGGGGGTGGGGATGTTGCACAGGCTGGGTGTCTTAAAAGCTACCCTGGGCAGCTATTTAAGCCTCAGGCCTCTGATGAGCTTGACAGATGATTGGGCACAGTGGGAGTCCTGAGCCGCCTCTTCCCTGTTTGGTCCTCCTGCAGGTTGCTTAGGGGGAAACCACAGAAACACTGAGGTGTCCCCAGGCATGTGGCGGGAGGTGGGGGAGATCTTGAAAGCTGTCTCCAAGGGCAACTTCCTAGAGGAGTTGCCAAGGTCGTCCACTTAAAAATACGCCTGTTAGTGTGCTCATAATTTTTGGAAGCAGTTATGTACCATTTGCACAAATGGGACAAAATTGGGTTAATGTAAGGCACACCCAGGGATAAAAGCTAGCCAGGATGGATGCCTGCTGGTCAAATCCAACAGGTACCCACACTGTACAATACCTAGTCTAGGCCGGAGGGGAGTATTTCCCTGCTTTGCAAAGAACAGTCTGGTAGGAGATCACAGTTTGCAGAAATGAGCTATCCCCCCACTTTATGGAACATTGGAAATGCTGCAACCAAAAAGGCTAGAATAGTTGACTGAATACCAAAATAACTTGAAAAATGGATCATTATGAAATTTGCAATTCTGCCATGTCTTTTTGCTAGTTTAAGTGTGCCTTCTGAATTTTGAGACTACTTTTATTGCCGTTAAGTTTCAAGTTTATATTAGCAAGAGATTTATAAATTTCTTCAAAAAGATAGTTCTGATATTCTTTAAACTTCTAGATGTATGAACCATATTCTGTGCTTCTCACACCCAGAAATATATTTATAGTTAACGGAATCAGCATATGGTTGGCTTGATACTAAGATAATTGAGTTTCCATTTAGATCAGTGAGACTTAAGCAAAATCGGTAACTTGACCCATTGATTTCAATGATACCTAATTTCAACTCTCTTAGTGTGGATCCAGCCCATAGTGCAGCCTTTCCCCCAACCTCATGCATTCCAGATGTTTTGGCTCACAGCCTCATTATTAGACTGTGCCAGCATGGGCAGTGACTGGGGCTGATAGAAATCTTGTTCTCAAACTTCTAGAAGGCTGCAGGTGGGAGGAAACTGCAATAGTCTTTTATAGAATGAACAATCAAGAATATTAAGTTTGAAATATTAGACTTGCTCAGTCTCTTGCAATAAAAAGTACATTAATAAATGATCTCTTTTTAGCATTTATGTATTCTATACTGTATTTAGTCACATCATTCTCTCTATAGGATCTCTTTCAGAAGAAGGGCTACTTGTGTATTTGCGGGTACTCCAGACATTTCTTTCTCAGTTACCTGTATCTACATCAGGTACAGATTGTCAAGATTCAAACAGTGACTCTGAAGATGAAGAAATCAGTAAGATGACTTCCATGCCTGTAAGTATTTATTTTAAGCATTTTAAAAGTTCCCTTTTAGGGCTACACCTAAAGTACAAAGGTCACCATACAAAAAGAAAGGAGGACTCATACAAATTTTAAAGGGGATCTCATCAAAACATGTTAAGAGTTACTGCTCTACCAACATAAGGCATGTTGGTATTAGTAAAGATGGCCTTGTCAAGAGGAAGGTTTTCAAAGCTCTGAATGCTAGAGGAGTAGGAGCATGTTCATTGAAAGGAAGTTCCAAGGACTCAAGCTACCACTGAGCAGATCTGACTTGAGGGTGTGTAACTGATCTTAATCGTGAGCACTCAGAGCCCTCTGAGGTACATCATGGTATAAGGGCATACAGTCTGGATGAGGATGGTCCTTCAGAGAACCTGGTCTTGAGCAGCTAAGAACTGTAAATGTAAAGATTACAACTTGGAATTAGCCACAGAAACAGACTGTTAGCCAGTGCAACTGATGCAAGACTGGAGTGATATATTCAGATTTTTCTGGTCCTCATTAGCACCTGGGATGCTGCATTTGTACCATCTTCAGAGACAACCCCACATTGCAGCAGTCTGTTTTTGAAGGTAATCAGAGAATGGACAACCATAGGTCCATGGCTGGTGTATAAGCTGGAGTTTGTTACAAGCATTGCTTATCATTGCCTCCCGCTCTACTATCCCAGAAAGTGAGAATCAGGGAGTGCCCCCAAGCTGTGTATTTGTCCCTTCATAAGGGATGTAGCAGGCCTGTTATACCCCTCCATCTCAAGGATTCCTGGCTCATAGAGCCTCCTCTTTTCTAGGATTACATTAAGTGTGTTCTCTTTCCTATCCTAGAGCTCAACCGAGTCACTTATTCAAGAGTTCCACAGCCTCTTTGTGGAATTTTTGGGTGGAAAAGAGAGGTAGACCTGTATGTTATCAGCATATGGATGGCATCAGTGACTAAACCTCTGTATAACTTCTCCCAGCAGCTTCATAGATGTGTTGAAGAGTATTGAAGATAGAATAGAATTGTGTGGTAGCCCCGCAGAACAAAGGTGATGGGATAGAACAAAACCCTCCCAAAACTACTTTCTGAAATGTCCAGAAGGACCAGAAACACTCCAGTGCTGTGGTTTCTCAGCAACTGTGCTAACAGTTGAAATAGGAAGATGATATGAAATGCCACTAGAGCTTAGGTAAAATGCACCAGTCCCCAGCATAAGTTATTCACTAGGGTGCCCAAAACCAGATTGTGTATTCACAAGTTTCTTCCAGAACCATCTGGAGCTGGGAGCCCAGCATTCCACCAACACCTTACTCAAAAAGGGATGGCTGGAGACTGACTGGTAGTTATCCAGGATGTGAAGGGCTAAACTTGGTTTCTTTAATGTGGACTGCACTATACCTTCTGGAAGAATGTCAAGACCCATATCCTTGCTGAAGCAGGCATTTACCCTCTCTATGGTCCATGTCTTCAAACACACTCTGGATGTTTATATTATTAAAATGGTCTTAATGCAATATGTTAATGCAACACTGAAGTAGCAGCGTAATTCCTCTGTCATAACCCTGTGATTTTGCAGTGAAATATATTAGCTGTACCCCCTTAATCTGTATTTGTTTTGGCTTCATTCAAAAATGAATAGCTCACAGTTTCCTCTATATTCAGTGCAAAGCACAGGAGTTTAACTGTGTGTTTGTAAAGTATATACAGTATCTCTTCTCCATTCACCCCCCATCCATTTCTAGGTGTTTTGTTTCAGGCTGTATTCACTAGCTTTTATATGGCTAGGCAAGTCAATGGCAGTCAAGTAGAACCATATGCAGGTGGTTACATAGTGTACTATGATTTATTGTGGAAAAGAATGGAATTCAAATGGGGACACAGAACTTAAGGGCTATTCAGGAAGATCGGCAATGAGGTTGTGTATAAAAGCCTTTCTGTTCTTTGTAAAGCTTTATAAATAGAATTCTGATTTGTCAATTTCAAGCAGTGAAGAAATATTAAAGCTATTTGTACTAACATCAAACATTGCTATTGAATATATGCTAGCTACAGTTCTTTAACAACAAACATTAGCCACTGATGACTACTATTTCAACATTATTATCTACTTCAATAGTTGTTCCAGTCTAAGGACTGCTAAGCATGATTAATAGCACAATCCTGTGTATGCCTTTTCAGAAGTTCCTACTGAGTTTGGTAGGGCTTACTTCCAAGTCAGTGTGCAAAGGATTGCAGACTTAGGTTATTATCTGATTGATGGAAAACTTGCCTTGAAAATACTGAAAAAGCTTTAAGAACACCCTGTTAATCTACTTATTTATTAAATGTCTGTCCCTTCTTTCTTGCATGGGACTCAAGGTGGCTTCCATGGTCCTCTTCCTTTCCATTTTATCTCAAAAGCCTGAGCGGTTGGTTGCTGACTGGCCCAAAATCTCTACCAAGCTTCATGGCTGGATATTTGGAGCCCCAGTTTAACACTGTGATTCCTACTCTGCATGGGTTAACATGCTATAAACTTATTCTTGCTTATCTTCAGATACTGTTTTTTAAATGCTGGAAGGATAGAGATATGGAAGAATTAAAAACTTGTATAGATGCTTGCTAAAATGTTATTGTTTCTGGTAAATAACTTTATACAATGAACCAAAGGTGTAGGTGAGCACTTGTTGAACAAGAGCTATGATATAGGATGAATTACTTGAGATTTTCAGTCTTTAGTTTGATCATATAATGTTTTCATTATGTATCCAGGTATAAATGTGCAGAGCCATGATCTCACCTCTGTGTTTGGCTAAATTGGCACTTAAATGCATTTGTTGACCATGTGTACTTGCATGCACATAAAATAAAGTTGTAATGCTTGTTTGAAGGCTACTTAAATTAATTTGAAAAACACTGGGGAGCATGGCAGAGAGAATCAGATTATTGTTGTAATATGGAATACCTTGCTGTAATCTGGAAAATAGTTATAAATATTATAAGGCTCGTCCACCTGGTAGCCTTCTGTGTTTCTGAGTTAGTACAGTGGCCTAGTCTGGAAGTCATTTACATGAAGGGGCTAATCTTTATGTTTTGTTTTGTTTTGTTTTACACCTTCATGGGAAAATTGCTCAGCCAGATTGCATTTCTGGCTGGTTTGGTCTCCTGTCTTTAGCTGGTTTGGTCTCTCATCCTTCTTTTTGGTACTATGGTATACTGGGTACATAAGGTGGGTTCAGCACAGTAGAAGTTTCTGCCCTGCATGAGTAATGTTGGATTTGGAAGCATATCAGTCTACATCTAACAACATTTAAAAAGTAGGGCTGGTATGCTGCTGTTGGTAGAAGAAAATATTTGATACTGCAAAATGTGTTTTGCATATTGAAGCACATTCTTTGGGGAAGTGGAGAAACTACATCAATATTGTAAACATCTGCTTCATTGAAATGTACTTTTCCTTTTGTTTGACAGGGAGATGGAAGAATATCAGTCCAATATATAACTGAAGAGTGTCTTTCAAAGCTAGATACAAAACAACAGACAAATACTCTACTAAATATGGTCTGGAGAGATTCTGCTAGTGAAGAAGTCTTCACACTGATGGCTTCTATCTGCCACACACTGATGGTGCAGCACCGGATGATGGTGCCCAAAGTCAGGCAAGTATAAAAGATCTGTCCTTGTTGGAACTCAATCTGTAAGTCTTGGGACAACAATTTATTGTGAGAAATCCTAAGGATGCAGCCTCATGAACAAGAATGTAGGACAGTTTTCTTTGGCTTTGAGACTTTGATAAAATGGGGGGGGATTTTGTTATTCCAAAAGAACATTTTAATGTATTTATTTATATATTTACCATATTCTTGCTGTAAGAACCCTGAAAACAAGGCAATGGTGATGTCCTTAATAGATGTTTGAAATCCAAGAGTAGAGTTGTCTTTGAATACCTGTAACAGCAGTAGTAACCCCTCTATGTAATCCTGTCTCTTTCTGGGACTTGAGTGAAAGTTATTTGTTTAATCAATTATATAGTACTTTTTAACCATAAAGTCAGAGCGGGGGGTTGCTCATTCCAGCAATTAAGTCGTTGTGAACATGTGTTGCCTTTATTATTATGCAGAAGAACACCTTTCCATGCTGCATGAAGAACAGTGTAATACGTGCGTGGCATTGAATGTGTCCCACTAAAGATTTAATCTTGCAAAACTTACGGAGGAAAAAAGGCACATCCAGCTGGGACATGCTGGGGGTTGCAGGTTTTTTCTATGTGAACCTGCATTCATTGCATTGTTCTTGTGTTATGTGTGCTAGGTTCTCACATAATAAAGCAGGTATGCAGCACTTATATCAAGGCTTTTCTTGCTTGTCTTGGAATGGTCACATCAGGAATGAAGATGTGCCACTACAAGCTTCCTAAAACATGCTGGTTACACTTGTTTCCTTAGATAAAAGCCAGTATCCAGCTAATGATAAAGCTAGTTCTGTGAGCCCAAGTGGGCATTAGACTGCTTAGACAGCAGCCTCAAAGGCCCCATTGGGAGCGATTTTATAGCCCTGGGGATTCAGTTGGTTATTTTAGGGGGGAAAATAAAATGTTGTGATCCTCATCCTTACAAGGCCAGCTGAATGCTAGAGATGTTCATTAAACAAACTGTAGTGCTCAATGTGTGAGCCTTCTTAAAATACTGAAAAATTCAAGAGTATACTGGTATTAGAGTTGTGTTCAAAGGTCTTAAAATGTAAATGGTACAGCTACATCCTTATGGTTTGAAACACATCCAGAATGGTGAATTGCAGAGTGAATAATACCAAGTTACTGAGCATGCCATAGATATTCCTGGTATTTTTGGAGTGCCATAAAAGACAATTAATTCAAACTGCTTTGTAAACAATGGTAGAGAAAACTAATTGATGCTGTTTCTTTAGCCTGTTGATGTTTATAGCTGTTCAAGGAAGTAAGATGTCAGTGAAACTGTGATCACTTGATTAGGGGAATTAGTTCTTTGTCAACTAATTGCATTTGAGCAGGATGTGAGATCGGGAGATCATAGCAGAAGCTGAATTGGTATGCCTGCTTTTATTGTAACTAGTCTATTGCTTTAGATAGCAATTACGGGATTTAAATGCACCATTGCTCAGGCCTTACAGTTTATTGGTGAACTGTGTAGGAAAGATGCTTAATTAGTGATGTTTCTGTAACTTTAATTGTAGGAGTACAGCCTCTATTTCCTCCAGAAAGCTGTGCTTAAAATTCTGCTGGTCTTTGTGTGAATTTATTTGGGTTTGCTTACAGGTTATGTAAGTGTGTTTGTGTTTTAAGCTAGCAACCTTTTGAGAGCTAGGGCTCATCTTTAACCAAGGGACCTACTGGCCTGTTTTCTCTTGTTAAAATGACAAAGCAAGGAAATTGGGCAGGTGCAGCTTGGCAAACAGAAAATGTGTATCTGTTATAACTGACTTTCTGTGCAGCAAATAAAAGTAATGGGAAAATTCTGCAATATTCAACACTTTGATGTAAAGTGTGTATCTTATTTGAAATAAACAGCAATTTCTGGGATAATAAATGGTAGCTAAAGAATGTACATTTAACACTTCAAACAAAGTTTAATTTTTAACTTCAAATTACTGTTTCTAATTAAATGTACTAAAAGCAGTAATCCATATTATACTTACATTCTGATCTTGTAGAAATATGAATTTCAGTCTAGTCCAAGTTTTTCTCCATCTAGAGGCAATAAGCAGACATTAAAAAAACTGGAAGGCAGGCAGTTCTAATTAATTTTATCCCCAGAATAGACTACAACTCAAGAAGAAATGAAATTAGTAAGAAGTATAGCCATATGCCTTTTATAGCTTTTGTGAGCAATGAAAATACTCACTTATTTTATCTAGAATAATAGGTTGGATTATAGGCAAAAGAATTAACAGTTTAAAATTTGTTTAAAAACAAATGGCAGCTTCCTTTAAAACACAGTTTATTCCATAGTCATCTGTTTTGAAAACTCCTTTCTGAGTGCCTTTCCAGAACTTGGTAACTATGTTGCAGCATTCTGCAACTCAGGTTTGATACCTGCTGTATGCAAATTTTAATTGTTTGCTGTTCCTGAAGAAAAGCAAGATACAGATGTAGCAAATAGATGGGAAGGCGCAGATTCAGTGTGGATTTGAGCTTGGTTGAAGTGTCATGGCTTCTCTTGCTAGGAAAAATGGGGGATCATAGCTTGGTACTGAGAACTTTTCCTTTTGAATATTCCATGAGATCCTGTTTCAATATTTTTCAAAGTTACTTGATTTTAGGGCATACAGTTAAAGGAATATTAACATAGGTTCATTTCAGTACACTATCCATGTTCTGTATTTAAAAATGCAATATTAAGTTGAAATTTAGAGCCCATAGACTCTTAACTAGAGGGAAAAAACTTTCAGTGCAAGTGATTATAGGATTATAGCGTCTCTACCAGTATATATTGGAGTAAGTTAGATTACATCACACTATTCATTTAAATTTTGTGTCAGGTTTTTATCATTTACTGATTTGTCACCTTCCTTTAATAAATAAATGGCCAGAAATGTGCACAAATATTTTGGTATGTTTTGGTTTTGACTTTTTGTCAATAGTTCAGATTTGTGCAGCAGTGCCAGTCCAACTGCATGAAACACAAGGCTTTGTTTGGTCAACCTGCTGGAAAGATTCTGTTGTGAAGTCAGGAATATTGACAAAGCCAAACTTCAGATAAGTTAACTTTGCTTTCATTTGATAGCTGTTAAGTGAAAGCAAAGCAGTGAGTAGATCATTGCTTGTGAAGCGGAGTAGCGACTACACCATCTTCTTCTCAGTGAGACCCCCTCCCCCCCAGTTTTAATTTCCCAAGGAACCTGAAGCCTGTCAGTGTCAGTGGGGACCATTACCAGTTCTACACCTACCTGTGAGTCAGCATTGCGTTGCATCGGCCCCTATTTTTCAAGGAGACAACTGCATTACTTAGGTACCTGAGTTTTGGGATTTGCACATATTCTGAATAATTAAGTTTCACTGTACTTGCTTCATGCTAATACATATGCTATTTCTCTGCTACAAGGCAATTTCTAATATTCTCACAAAAGGCAGATTAAACTCTGGAATATTGGCAAGGAGGAGTTGTACTTCATGTATATATTTTCATTTCAAAAATAGCATCTCAGAAAATACATGATATTTCTCAATTAAAAAAAATGTTTGGTAAAATATCCATGTTGCTGCATTAAAACGTTTAGAATTTGTATTGCCTATTGGTAGAGGGTAGAAGTCCCAAAGGGCATTAGCAGAAAAGCAACAGTCATTTACAATTGTATGCCAGTGAAGCTGAATGGCTCACTTAATCTCATGTAATTGCCATCACATCTGTTACCTTCTACCTGTGACACCTTCCAGTTTAAAGGAAGTGTCAAAATATGCTGCCCTGCCCTAGTGACCTTTATCCAACTGTATGAGCTTGTCTCATTGTATTGTATTCTCTTCATTAAGTTAAATGGTCTCAGTGGGAAACTGGGCTCAATTTATGACCTAGACTGAAAATGCTGCGCTTAACTAATTAGCTTATAGCCATGCTTCAGCTAAATAAAGCTTAATGGGTCATTTAATCTCTCCCATTGCACCAGAAAGAATTTGACACTTTTTTTTTTCAAAGGAAAGCCAAGGGTACCCAAAATACCATTCTGCCAAATACACATAAATCATGTACTGTTTGTTAACAATTAGATGCCTGCTTAGAGAATCTGCAGGATTCTCATAAAACGGCTTTCTGTATAAAGGGACAGAGCTACAGGGTTCTTAATCTTATGATATCTCCTGAGGTGGCTAATAACATTTAAAAACAACAGGTATTTTAAAAACTCAGCAATTGAATCAAAATGCTAAAACAGAGCTAATCAACAACCTGTAATAAAATAGCAGTAAAAACAAACAGTGCTGTAATCTAGAGAAAATAAAAAGTCTTTGTCACTTTAATGTTGTCTTGGCAAGGGCATGGCTTGCACGGAGTAGGGCATTCCAAAGGAAATGTGCATGTTTTACTTCATCGCTAAATGTAAAGCATAAGTGACACAACTAAGAAATTATTAGCTGCAAATATGCCATTATGTAAAGGATTGATTTTCCAATTTGGGGGAGTTATTGAGCAAATCAGGGTAGTACATGTTGATAGATATGTATTTTATGACTGCATGCAAACAGTCATATTTAAGGAACATAGGGAAAGTCATAAGATGAATTGGTAACACATGCAAATTGGAAAGTACATAATTAGAAAACTTAATGTCATGCATTTTTTCTAAAGCTGTGGTTGAAATTAGGAAAAATAATAGATTTTTACCAGGAATTTCAAAAGTTTTCCTTTTGGAACTGGTAATAGTAGAATTACTATTGGAAATAGTAGGAAATTATTGGAAACTTCGGAAGTGGACTTCTTTCTTTTTTTCAGGAGATAGACAAGACAGTTCAACATGCTTGGGTGTGTAACATGTAAGCTTTTGACTCACTTTCCTAACGATAATATCCTTAGAAATCTCCTTATCTCTGTGCATCACACATATGGGCTCTGCACCTGAGTTGGCACAGAAAGCAAAACTCCATAGTTCTGACTCAGATTAAAAAGAAGAAGCACCCAACTCAGGTGCCTTATCCACCACCAAGATTATCCATGCTGTCTCCTCCTCTGGACATATGATCACTGATACCATTCTGATATACAAGTACCAACATGTGAGTTGGTACCTATTTGTTTTCAAGGGGAAAATTCAGTGTCCATCACCACTTCTGGAATTGGCTGAGCATGTCTTGCCACATCATCCTACTTCTTGGTCTCCAAGGGAAACTCTGAATGTCAGATATGCTGAGCTGTTATGAATACCAGGATCACTCCCTTTTCAAAATGGGAATGCCAATCTATATGGTTGATATCAACATGATTTTCTCACTGTTGGTATGGCAGGCCCATTAAATACCATTATCAAGGCTCTTACGATTACAACCACTTTTGAAACCCCATTGATATCAAGTACAGTCCTTGGATTTCTTGGGGACACTGCCTGTGAATGACATCTTTTTGTCTCCACTATAGACTCCCCCTTGAGTTTGTGTCTTGGATTGCTAGTAGTCCCATCCATCCAAACAGATATCATCTGCCTGCTTGCAGATCAGCAGGTCTCATAGTTCCCATTCTGCTTCAGACTTTATAGCAATTTCTTCAAGGGACACCCCTAACTGTACCGTTTTTCCACATTCAGCAGCAAAGACTATCACTCTGACTCTGTAACGTCCTCTTCCCCAGTGCCATCAATATCATCACTGGATGGTGTCATCAGTGGGAGTGATCCTGCCTTAATCTTTTCGTAAGAGATATTGAGAATGGCTCATTTTCTGGGGACAGGCTTGGAAGTAATACAAAAATTGAAAGACACAGTTTTTGATGTCAGCTCTGCAAAGATGGCAACTCCAGTTACAATCCCTTTTCTACCAAGTTTTTTAACAACATTTCCTAAAAGATGCTATTGTCAATGGCTTTGACTTCCTGGAGAACATGAGACCGGAGTACAAGAGAAGGATGCTGATCTCCTTTTTGCTCATCCCCACCCAATTCTGTCATAATAAAATCTCTTCAAGGTTGTTCCTAGAAATAACACTTGTCACTAGTAGATAGGGAAGGATGCTCACTAGTCTGAATGGGCCATAGGATTTACTCTTACTGATGCTTCCCAATTTCAGGTCCTTCCATTTGGCCTTTGCACTGTCCCTCAGTTATTTATGAAGTTGCATAGCCATCTTCTGTGGTCACCTTTACATACAAGTATACATTTATTTAGATCATAGAATAGAAGATTTGGAAGGGGCCATGAAGGCCGTCGAGTCCAGCCCATTGCTGTCGTAGGACACCATGTTACACCATCCCACACAGATGGCTGTCCAGGTTCCTTTTGAATGTCTCCGGTGTGGGAGAGCCCACCACCTCTCTAGGCAGCTGGTTCCACATGACTAGCTGCATGTAAACATAACAAAAGGATGACGGATTTCAGCCTTCTCCGTTACATTATCTTTTCTTTCCAACCTGGAGCTTTGCAGCCACTGTGAGCTCTGCAGTATAAGGGCGTGGTCCTCGACTCCCATGTGCTTACCTACCCTTAGGTAGGGCTCAGGTATCACTCGCACTAGTGAAAACCTTATAATCTTGGGAAGGGGCTTGACATTTGATATCCAGCTCACAAACCTCCTCATGGAAGCCAACTTTGGTCACTGTGGAACTGAAGGAATAAGCAGGAACCTGCTACCAACATAAACACGGAACAGTTGGGGAAGCGCTCCTGCCAAAATTCCTCATCTCAAACAAGGCTTTGTGCAGGCATAGAGCCCATATGTATGAGTAGACCAAAAAGTTATACATGTAGTATTGCTAGATAGGACTGCAGAATTTCATTAATTCTGGAGATGCCTGAAGACACAAAGAGGTGAGGGTGCAAAAAGAGGCGGCTAAAATTGCGCACACACCAGCCTATTGTAGTTTAAAACTGTTATTGTAGATAGCAAAGCCTTAAGGAGATGCATTTCAGCCTTTTAGAATGAGAAATACATTTCAGAAAAGCCAGGAAACCACCCATCAGTAGCTGAGGGGAAGGGGGCATGGCATGGTCATCTGGAGAACATGGAGAGGCCTAGACTTGGCCTGAGGTTCGACACTCTTGTGCTAGAAAATGGGAATGAGGGGGGATTTATAGATCAACAATTAATAATTTTGAAAAGTTACAAGACATCTACATGTATTATATAGTCTTCCCATGAAATCTTATTTAAATGCACTTTTTTCTTAATAGCTTTATGCTTTGTTACACTAACTGTAGGATTATACATTTGAATAACTACAATATATTGTGGAAGAGCTCTCTTAATGATTGGTGACACAGCGAAGAACAGGTTAACTAAGCAGGTCATCTATAATTACTTTTAGTGTAATAAATGGGGTACTACAGACTTTACTTTAAAAGACATCAGGCTTGCTATATTATAAAATGAGTTGACTAATACTGAAAAGAGTAGTTAATTATGAATGTTACTTTGGGATGAATATTAAAAGAAAAATTAACAAGATATTTTATATGACTCAAGTGATGTAATTCAATAATCTTGCTTTTTCTCTTCTAGGCTTCTGTATAGCTTAGCTTTTAATGCCAGGTTCCTGAGGCATCTTTGGTATTTAATCTCCTCAATGACAACACGAATGATTACTGGGTATGTAACATAATAAGAGCCTGTGAATTAAACCAACCATGGTCTGGTGCGAATGAATGAAAGATAGTATTTGTGCATCCTAGAGTGCTTGCAATATGCGTGACTGAGGTCTTGACCTCAGAATTGAACCTGTCTCCTTCAGAATTCTGAAATTTGTACCTATTTCCCCATCTTTTAAAGACAGTAGCTATTAAAGACACAAATTACACTGGAGATACTCAGTTGCTAGTTCCAAAGTTTTCCATTGCTGCATATCCCCACTGTACACCTCATTTTTCTGCTTAGAGCATGCTAGTTAAGATGCCTTAGAATGAGTTTCTGTAAAATATCTTCTCTAGGGCTATTTTTAATGTCTGGCTTAGTATTAAAATTTTTGTTCAAATAAGTATGATAGAAAATACTTACTAAATGGCTTTTGGCAACTTGAAAAGAGAAATTTATTCTGACATGAGGCATTCAAGGACGCAGTCCACACAAGATCAAATTAATCAGTCTTTAAGACTTGTAAGACTTCTGGTTTTTGTTGCACCTGACTAATATATGTATCTTGCTGAAAATGTCTAAAGTCCCCACTATATGCAACGGTACACTACTTGTTGTGAGAATACAGTGTAAAGAAATATATGGTTATATTTTACTGGAATCAGTGCTGCAAAGTAAATGGCTCATAAATCTTACTTGGTAGGTTGCCTTTTATATATTATGAAAATGTTCTTCCTTTTCAAAAAATAATTGTTTCATAACTTGTTTCTTAGTGGGGCATCAGAAAACATTTACTCTCAAACCAGTCTTTTTGCTTTCCAGTCATGTATCTAAAGTATCCTTCATTTTGTCTGCTCAGGTCAATGGTGCCCCTCCTTCAGGTGATATCACGTGGCTCACCTATGTCTTTAGAAGACTCTAGTCGGATCATCCCTCTCTTTTACCTTTTTAGCTCTTTGTTTAGTCATTCACTTATTTCTATACATGATAATGAATTCTTTGGTGATCCTAGTATAGAAGGTAAGAACATCATCATCTGTAAGTTTTGTCTTGAACACTCTTCTCTCAGAACTCCTGTTAGTATTAAAACCAGTCTTTGTATGCACAGGGAATAGGATGGGTTGGCTGGTAACATTTATTATCGGCCTGAGGATTACAATCCTCAGATAGAATTGCTAAATGTTTTTGAGTGTGCTAGCAACATAATCCTTTCTACTATAAATGTGCAGTTAAAAAAGTAACTGTTAAATTGGATACTCTCCTGTTAATTTGTCTGTGGGTTTTTTTATCTTTTCCATTTTAAACATCTTCTGAAAACAGAGCAAAGTTATACTGAATTTTCTGTAATGATTTAAATCAGACTTAACTAATTTGTGATTAAGTCTAATATTGCCCTCTGGACAGTCATCTTTCTAAAATGTATTTAAAGTATTTGTATATTTTGTTTCTGTCCACAAGGCCCCTCCAAGTGAGGTAAATACAGAGCAGAGGTGGCCAAACCAAGGCTTGGGAGCTATATGCAGTTCTTTGAGTATGTTGCAGCTTGCTGCTCTCAACTACAGGTTCCTTTTGGCACTCACTTGCTACTCACCAGCTGCTGCCACCTGTGTGCACCTGCTTGCAGCTCCCAAACATCCGACATTTACTGTATGTTGCTCTTCCATTGAGCAAGTCTGGCCACCCCTGACATAGAGAAAACCAGAAAGCAAAGCAGGCTTTATAAAACAGCTAATGCAATTTAAAAGCCAATTAAAAGTTTTGCTGCCTATCTAAAACCGAGTAGCAATGGAGCCAGCCTGATCTCTCTTGGAGGGGAGTTCAGCAGCTGAGGTGCTGCTACAGAAAAACTTCTGCTGTGTGTAACCATTAATCTAGCCTCTCTTGAAGCTGGAACAGGCAACAGGGCCTTTGATAAAGCTCTCAGATTACAGGCAGATTGATATAGGTGATGGTAGTCCTTTAGGTATCCCAGCCCCAAGCCATTTAGGTCATAGCCAACACCTTGAGTTGGGCTTTGAGGTGAATAGGAAGCCCTTGAGTTGGGCTTTGAGGTGAATAGGAAGCCCTTGAGTTGGGCTTTGAGGTGAATAGGAAGCCAGGGCAGCTTGATGATTCATGGTCCATAAGTGCTTGCTAGACAGCAGGCCATTGCGTCTTGCACTAGCTGTAGATTTCTTCCCTCTTGTAGAGTGTATTTCTTTTAGTGCCAGTGAGAGGGGAAGCCATGGATCACCATGGATAGATCCTTCTCTGTAGGAAGGGGTCCAACGGGCACCCGAGCTGAAGTTGGGCAAAGACACTCCTGACCACAGCAGCCCACTCTTGCCTGAGGAGCAGTGCTGGGCCCAAAAGTACATTGGAGCTGCCAACATGGTCCAAGACCGTTTTGGCAAACCCAAGCAAGCAGTAAGTAAAGGAAGAGTATGGCACTACCACACATGGCAAGTAGTTTGTGCTTAACATATTACAGGAGAAGTTATTTATTAATAACATGTACATACCGCTTAATATTTAAGAACATCTAAAGTCATATATAAGTTGTGCGGGCTTGTTTTAAACAAGTCACTAAACTGAGTTAAAATGTTACAGATAATATGCAGCAGGGAAGATTTTATTTTACTTAGTTGCTGCTTAGAATAGGCATATGTAACTTTAAATTTAAGTGTAATTCTGTGTCTGGTAAAATGTAGATGAATAAGAGAGTGTAGCTATGGTCCCTAGACATCGTCAAGGGGCCTGTGGTAATTTGGATTCCCAGATCTGAGGCTGGTGACCAGCTCTGCATCGATTTTCTGTCTCCCCACCACGACCTCCATGATTGGTGTAGAACTGTGTTAGCTGCTACATCGAGTTTCAGAAATCAACCTTGCAGAGGGTAAAAGGGGCATTCTGGGGGACACAAAGATGAAAAGATAAAATAAACTATTATTTTTAAATAATAAGCTCAAAGTTTGATAGAGTTTGATAAAATAAACTCTTGAGTTTAGCCTAGCTAAAATGCAAGGCAGGAGGTGCAGAGATCCCCTTGGCTACTGGGTGGTATAAAAATGAAATAAAACAACTTTTACTGCTCCTGCTCTGCACTGTGTGTTTGTAAGTCTGTGAGTTGGGCAGAGGTTATGAGCATGCAATCAATAGGTCTGTATCCCAAATTAAGTCAGTCATGACTAACTGAAGACCTATTCATGCCACTTGTAGTTCACTGTAAATGGAATTACAGTGTGTTTTACCAAAAAAACAGCTAAATTTTCAGCTATATTGTAAACAAAGACATGCCATTCTAACCAACTTCCCTAGGGTAAATGAAAATTAACACTTTTCTTGTTTTGTGTTATATTTTGGGACCAAGAGAACAAGAACATGGTGCTAATAATGACTGAATTTTATTTAGTTGTAGGTCAAAGACAATCATCAATGATGCCTTTTACATTAGAAGAACTGGTAATATTATCACGTTGCCTTCGAGATGCTTGCTTAGGAATTATTAAGTTGGCATATCCAGAAACGAAGCCAGAGGTTCGTGAAGAATACATTGCAGCATTTAGAAGTGTTGGTGTTACCACAAATACAGAAATGCAACAGTGTATCCAAACTGAACAGAAACGGTGGATTCAGCTCTTTAAGGTATATATGCTGTTAAGTTCAACGGTAGACCAAAAGAAATGGCAGAAATTCCTTATTGATCTATCTGTCTGTCTGTCTGTCTATTTATTTTTGGATTGATATCCTGCCCTTTTCCTACAAAGGGCTCAAGGCAGCTTACATCTCCTCCTCCATCTTATCCCCCGGCTTTTTCAGGCTCTTTAAACAAGGAGACACTCGGGTGATGGTAAATCTAAAATTAAATTCCTGAATTGATGACAAAGATTAAAAAGTCAACTTTAAATTCTTAAATTTTTACACTTTTTTAATGCTTATACTTTTACTATATAGCAATAAAACAACTTTTACAACTATATTTTTCTCTCTAGTTTTTGACAGTTTCAAATGTTGTTATAGGCTAGTATTGAGGAGAATGTGATTATATCATTAAATATTTCCTTTTATTGTAAATCTTAAATCCAGAAGGGAGAATTTATCAATGGGTGAAAAATGGGTGCTACATTTGGATCGGATTCAACAGCAATTTTTTGATGCATGGTCAGTGTGTCATGATTCCTGGAAACTACTGCTTATTTAAATAAGTAGTTTCTGTCCTTGTGGTATGATTGTCCTAGGGCAATCATACAGAAGACGACTGCAATCTATTCACTATCATCCACAGCATAGAAGGAAGGACTTGGGAGGTAGTAAGGCAGATTTTGGTTGACTATTAGGAAAAATTTCCTATTGGTCATAGCAGTCAGAGAGTGGAACCAGCTGCCTGGGGAGGTGATGGATTCTTCATTGCTGGAAGTACCACCATCTGTCATGGCTGACTTGAACTGGATTCCTGCACGAAACGGAGTTGGACTCACTGGCCTAAGTGGCCCTGCCAACTCTATGATTCTGTCATCTTTAGTCATTGTCGTATGGATGACTGTTGGTACATACTGAAATATTTTATTACTGTGCTTTCATGTAGTAATAAACAATATATCAAAAAAGAGGCAGGTGTGCTTTATGAAAATAAATTATGTTGGCTGGACCACTTATTTTAAAACTGTAAACTATTCTGTTACTGTGTGAGTCCACAAGGTTGATAAATTCCTTGATTTCTTTTTGCTATTGACACAAACCTAACCTGAGAGAAATGCATAACTTTTCTGCTCAGATTAGACTAGGTTTGCATTACTTGAGTCTAAATCTAGCTAGTATTCACTGACTGGAAGTTTAATATCTTTCTCTCTAAACAGTCTAGATGTCTAAGAGGTTTCAGCCTGTATTGACCCCAGTTGGTCCTTGGGGGATCTTGTGGTACATACTTCATATATTCTTATGTGCTGTTTTGTAAGCCATTTTAATTGTTTACGAAGAGAAAAAAATGGGTAGAAATGATAACTGCATATTCCAGGGCCCAGCTGAGAACCTAAGAAGCTAGTCCATAGTTTCTACCAGTGCTGCCTATGGTCCTAAAAAACTATTTGTCTATTTGGCACAGTTTTGCGGTGAACTCCTTGCAGCTAAGATGGTTCAGGGATGTGGTCTTTGTATGTGGTCTTTAAACATTTTTAAAATAACCACTAGTATCCTACTCAGATTTTTTCCTGTATCCCAAGGTTGAGGGACTCTGTAGAGGTAGGGTGAGGATCAAGAACATAACTGCTGCGCAAGAAAGTGCTTGACTTGCCATGAAATTTCTGCAGCAAACACATATAGTCAGCTAAAATTACTCATTAAAGGAGTGGAAGCAGAAGAAATGCATTTTCCAAATTGAATGCTAGATTTACAGTCCGTTTAATGCCGACGACCTCTCGCTCACTAATGTTCAGTTCGAGTCATCAACCGTCCCTTCAGGTCTTTTATCACTGCTTTTGTCAAGCTATCTATTTAATTGAAAGAAGTTAATTGAATGAAAATGATCAACTAAGCTTGTATTAATATTGCTAATGGAACTTTCTTCTTGGCCATGTTTGGAGAAAGATGTCATGCTAGACTTTAGGAAAGGCCCATTAATGCTTGCACTTAACCTGATGGGCTAATTAAGGAATGCTTATTCATTCTACAAGTCTACAATAGCCTCTATCCCACCCATTTTGCCTGATTTTTACAACACATTTCACTTATGAGCATGAACATTATGGGCATTTCTAGTGATGAGAGTAACTGATAATGTTTTGATTGTGTTGAATACTGTACTAATGTTCATAATGCCTCGTTGAACTTAGAATTTTCGCAGATCTAATATGTGTTTGCATACCTTGATTTAATTATATATCATATAAACTCACAGTTTGGAAACGGAAAAGAAGCCCAATATATTTGATTTTGTAAGTGAGGAAAATAAGCTATGTCTTTCTGCTTTGTATTATTACATCCATTTTGTAAACTCTTGTACAGAAACTTGCAAAAAAAGATGAGTTTGTCTGACAATTTTAATGGACATGTTCAGTTAAGTTTTTGAATGATATTAGGTATGACATCGAGCCTAAATAATGACAAAAAATACAAAGCAAGGTAAGTCATAGAATAGTGTCACCAAATTTTGAAGGACTTTTCAGAAGAAATAGATATGGTATGCATTCCTTAATCTGCATGTATTTTGCATCATTTTAAAGATAAACTGTACAAAATACAGCACTATAAACTTATAATTATTAGAAACAACTTTTCCATAGCATGTGTATACAAGACTCAAGTTCAGCTTATTTCTTTATTTTAAAAGATTTTTAACTCAGGTGGCTAGAATCAACAAAAGGAAAACAGGAAGAAGTTAAAACTAATTAAATTTATGAACATTAAACAGCAACACTAAAATAATACAACAACATACGAACAGTAAGAATATAAAAGGCTATGAACAGGGCATTGGCTGCTGATGTCATCTCAGTACGCCACCATAAAAATGCCTGACAGAACAAAATGGCTTTAATTGGAGACTTCCTGAATAGAAGTTATCCATATTGGCTTGAGGAGAAGAATTAAGGACCAGAGTGGCACATCAGAGAAATACAGTATTATTTATATTCTACATTTCTGTACTGCCCATAGCTGAAGCTCTCTGGGTAGTGTAGAAGTTAGAGCAGGGCCTTTGAAGGAGTTCTGAAGGAACGGCACATTGTATGAAGCAGGTGGTCTTTCAGGTACCCTGCTTCCAAAGCATGGAGAGTGGAGGTTGGATTTTTACTGCCCATTCATAATTTTTAAGAAGTCAGCATTTTCCTCATTAATGTGGCTCAAGCAAAAATTGGCATATTTGACCTTTGTTCTTCTGCATGTAGGAACAGGTGGCCTAAAGGCAAGGGAGCAATTGCAGTCCCGTGTGCACTGCAGCTTCATCTGTTAAAAGCTACAGGGCAATGACCTTGCAATCTCCTCCTGCCCTTTTTAAAATGATAGTAACAAGTAGGTTTTCTTTAAATACAGGAAAATGTTCACTCTGTGCAGCATCCAATGGGATGCCTATACCCACACTGCTTCCCTCCTGCCACACAAATTCCCTTCCTCATGCAGTGGGTCCTGTTGATTTAGACAAATTAGACCCCCTGCTTATGCAAGGGCGATTAAGCGCTTCCTGGAAGAAGCCCCAAAATGAAGGAGACAGGTTGGTACTTCCTTATGCATGCTCTGCCTCTCTGCCTGCTTTCAGCAACTATTGTTTCCACTCATTTCTGGTTGCCCTGGCAGCACTACATTAATATTTTTAAGCAGAGGGCTGCTTACACAGCAGAGTTGGCAGGGCATAAGAGAATCAGCAGGGACACAAGTTCTCCTGCCTGGTCTGCCCAAAATGGTGTGTTTGTGTGAATACTTAAAAGCAACCATGTTTTCTGTTACAATTTTACTTCTGTTGCATATTGTGAATGTAAGGTAACAGTAAATGAAGTGAATAAGGGTTTAATAGAATATAATGGTAGGACTAAGTGTTTCAAGTACTGCACCAATTTTACACAGGGATTAGTTTTTGGTGCATTCATTATCATGAGTGAGTGAACACCCATCTTTAGCTGCAGCTGTGAAAGAAAAACCTATCTTTTTCCTTTCTCCCTCCAAAACCCTTTTGTGTGTCTAGTCATGGGCACTGCAGTATTGTTGCTTCTCTGCATTTTGCCTCTAGAAAGGGGATGGGGCAGATCCCTTCCCTCCTTTGAAGTGGTTGCTGCCATGCTAAAGGATACAGTTTTCATCAAGGTCGCCCATTGTGCCAAAGGCTTGCTAAAAAGAGATGGACATCATGTAGCTTAAAACCAGTTTCTTAAAATCCCTGTCCATGTGCCCTTTAACCTGACAGATTGCTATAAAAGAAGTTGCCTTTCCACAGACAGCAAATGGAATAACAAAATTATGACTCTCTCCCTGCTTTCTGACTCATCACTAGTTTCATTTTGTATCAATTCCCCAGTTTTCCAAAGATACAAGATTAAAACAGCAAGTTGACAGGAAAAGTATTTAGAATAACAGATTTTTAAAAGTTAAATTGATGCTTATTTCATCATATTAACTGACAATGGCTCTAATTTTCTGTACAGTAGTGTGTTTTAGCAGGTTTGTAGACACTTTGTTTCCACAAAAAAGCAATGAAGACAATCTCTGGCTGAGCTTAATTTTTTCCAGTGTCTTTCAGATTACTTCCCACAGTACTTGAAAGGTTTCACATATAGCACATGCAGTAGCTTTTCCTGGTGGTTGCAGTTAGAGTCTAATGGAATTAGTGTTTTAGTGTCCAACCTGTCTAGCCTGCAGCACATTTATAAAGGGCAAAATGTTAAAATAATTTCTGCATCACCCTACTGATCTTCTAATGGTGTGGGAGTTTTTCCCCAGTGTGGAAAACCTCACTTATCAAACCAAGTCAAAAGAAAAATCTTCAGTATGTGCACAAGGGAAGGGGCATTTTTGAATGTGCTTTTGCTTCTTTTGGCACCTGCCCACTAATGCACCAATTCACACACTGCTAAAATAATTACCAGAAAAACATACTAGCAGTCTCATACAGCATACTGTCATAATTCTTCCATATTGTTTTTAAACTTGATGTAGGGAGAGCAGGGGTTTGGTTCAGATGAATAACCAACCTTGGGGCTGGCGCTGTAATGTGGTCTTGCATTTTTGCATGCATAATTGGACCCATGAGAAGGGAAACCATTCCTGTTCTGGCACTGTGCTTTCTCTTAGCTCCAACATGTGCTTGTCAGTTAGCATAGATAATTCTCCAACCTCCTGAAATTTCGCTTCAGGATTCAAGCGCAGAACCCTTCAGCAGAGGAAAATAATGGATATGTGTTTCTGATCTAGTTTATTTAAACTAGGGTCGGCATTGATGTTAAGTCATTGGCCTGGTCACACATCATGCCAAACCACAGTAGGTTGTTGTTCTGGGTGTTGCAGGATAGCTTAATGTGATATCTGAACCTGGAACAGTTCTTTCGTTGTAGGTTTGTAGCAGGGGAGTTGTAAGTAAAACACCCTGAGAATCTGTGGGGTAAATTTACACATCATGCTAGGCCACTCTGCAAATGAGTTATGATTGGTTTGTTGGTTCATGGAACAACCCATGGTGCAGCTAATAGATGTGGACTGTACTCTCACTCCATCCCGCTCTGTCCCAGCTGACCCTGGCATGTATCCTTGTTTCTTTTGCAGAAACACACATTATTTCTCCCCTCTCTGCTCAGATTTAGTGCTATTAAAAATGGAGCCATAGAAACTGCAGTGTTCTTAGTTTTTCAGCTCCTGAAAAGTATGCCACTGTGTTTCTGTTGTTGTTCTTGTTGGTCTTTTGCAAGTGTGCTCTTACGGGTGTCAGAGAAGTGTAGTCCTGCCCAGTCAATTTCCTTGTCTGTTTCAGGACAATGGCAATGTGAGGCTGCTTTTAGACTAAATTGCACACTGCCGTGGGGGGGGGGGTCCGTTGCCAAGTACCGGTAAAATGGAGGAGGGGGGTGATAAAATATATGAAAGGAATGACAATATCTCTCCCTGCCCAGAATGTTTTCTTCGTTACATTTTTTAACTGCTCAGTAGCCAAAGCAACAATGTAATTCTCATCACAAATTTAATGGCTAGGAAACAAGTGAAGGGTAACACCTTATGCACCTGCAGTAACTTATTTGAAAAGGAACCACAAAAGGGGTGTGTGTGCGCTTGCGAATGGAGTTAAAATCTTTTCTTTTTGGATTTTCTGGAAACTTGGGGAAGGGTTCAGAAGATGACTGACTCTGAGAACTGTCAATTCAACAGTTAAAATCAAGAGGATTATATGGTCAAGTTGGAGATACTGGGTGCACTTCTGTTGCTTTATTTCCTGTCCTGGTGCTTTTCAACTGGTAACTTGGCAATTGGACCCTGGCAACTGTGCATAAATTAGCCTGTTTTCAGTCTTGTCTTGTCCACTCCCTTGACACCTGAGACAGACATGAAAAAGTACACATATTGGGCAGCTGTAAGAGTGCCTTTGTGAACGAAGATATGCTGAAGGGACAGCATGGGAAGGGGCATTTTCCATTCTCGCCACTGCCTGCAAAGTCTCCCAGGTCTGAACAACACAACCAATTGTGGTGTGAACAACTCCTAGAACAAGCTGTGGGTGGCCAGTTCTCAAAAAAATAAGCCACCGTGCAGGAAGCAGTTTGGATTCCGATAACATAGCTAGTTACCCATGGTTATATGAACCTGTTGTCTTGAGTGTGTTCAGATGACACAAGTCACACTCAAGGGTTGAATATGGGTTGTTGCTAAACCATGTTGTTGCTGAAACATGGATTATTGCGTTTTTATTTTTTTTCAATTTATATCCCGCTTTTTTCCTACAAAGGACTCAAGGCAGCTTACATCATTCTCCTCCTCCATCTTATCCCCACAACAACAACCCTGTGAGGTAGGTTGGGCTGAGAGTCTGTAACTGGCCCAAAGTCACCCAGTGGGCTCCATGGCTGAGCAGGGACTGGAACCCAGATTGCCTGAGTCCCAGTCCCATGCTCTTAACCACTACACCACAGTGCTAGCAAACCATGGTTAACCACAAACAGTTCACAGCCCAACAACAAAACATGGGTTTTCTTGAGTTATTTGTGGTTAAGAAGCTATGGTTTGTTAGTGCAGCTGGGCTTAAACAATATAACCATGTTGCAATAATATTCCACAGTTCAACAACAACCCACATTCAATCCATACGGGACTCTTCATTCATTCATTCAGTATACCATCCACTACAAGCATCTCAGGATAATATGGTTTATTGTATTGTTTGAACCCAGTCCCTGGGCCCTTGCTTGTCCTCTGGGGTAACCATGAGGAGCAATATGAAAGGTTGCACTAGGGCCAAATCCTCAATTACTTATTCACTTCTGAGAATAAAAAACAGAATTCATGTAATCATATAAATAATAGTAATGCTGCATGCAAAATAGTCTATTATAGTATAACATAATTTATTTTTGCATAGTAATATATTTTGAACTATTTCTGTCATCCAGGTAATTACTAATTTAGTGAAAATGTTGAAATCTAGAGATACAAGGAGGAATTTCTGTCCACCTAATCATTGGCTATCAGAACAAGAAAATATTAAAGCAGACAAGGTAATATGGTGCTAGTTGCTTAACTTTTTAAAATTCTCTGTGTTTATGGCATGGCAGGGCTTATGAAACTATGTATGCATTTATTTTTCATACTGAATCCTGGCATTAATATCTATGTGCACATAAGTGAAATTTAGTGCAGGTGTTAAGCCTACCCTTTGAAGCATCTTGAATATTAGTAGCTTTTCCTTTGGTTCTGTATTTAAAATATGATAGAGAGTTTGCTGTCTGAGCCTATGCATATTTACTCAGAAGACTGTTCAGCTGAGTTCAGTAGCCCTTGGGAGTAAGCCATACTGCAGCTTTAATAAGCTAGATAGTTCTATCACCTTTAAGTGTGTGATCTCTCATTCTTAAGGCATAGTCAGAATGCATGGAACAGGTGTGGTTGGAAAGTCCTTCTGTTCCTTTGTGAGAAGAGGGGGTGAATAAAGAAGGCTGAGCACTGAATTCTTGTATTTTCAGTACTAACATTTGATCCCCTTCATTTGGGTAGAACATTATTTTAATACATTTAATAAAACATATTGGTTTTCCTAAAACATGCTTGGTAACATTTTAATAACTATTTACGTGTATTTGAATATTTTTTCTAGTGGTGATTAAATTTTTGGTCTTTTTAAGAAATCTAACCATGACATATAATTCACTACTAGGTTACACAACTTTATGTGCCATCAGCCAGACATGTATGGAGAGTGCGTAGAATGGGAAGAATAGGACCATTGCAGTCTACCTTGGATGGTAAGGCAACATAATTACCTCTTCTTGGAAACTGAAGATGCTACATCTTTTTTATAAGCAGAGAACATATTGCCAGATTCTGAAGTTTTCCAGTCTATTTGTATATATACCTTAGAGGGATTTCTGCTTCATTCATAATGCTGTTCTGTGGCAATACATATATAAAATTCTTGATGGCCATAGGAAATGTGTGTGTGTGTGTGTGTGTGTGTGTGTGTGTGTGTGTGTGTGTACACATCCCACAAAAGACCAGAATTGTATTGGAGTTAGTACTTTGAAATTTAATGATTGGCGAGGATGACCATAGTTCATACATTTCTGAACATTTTTGGTTACCATATATGCTGTTGCATACATTTTAAGGCTTTGGAGGAAAGGAGAAGAATTTGCCTATGAAACCATCCTTTTCACCTGTGCAGGGGATAACTTTGTAAACCAGACCAGTCTTTGGTTACATTTTGTGTCCACCTCCATGTAATAAAGGCTTTCATTCTCCAAAGTTCACTCTGTCTTGATGATCGGTGAATGCCCTTGAGATGAAGAAAGATGTGATCCACATGATTGTGTGAAGACAGGCGCATAACAGTGTGCTTATGATTTGTTTAATCCCACTTGACTCCGTATGGGCTAAAACCAATTAGTGTGAAAGAGCCACTGACTCACATATGGCCATGTTTATTTGTGCTTTTTCATTTAGTTAAATGGCAAGCTCTTGAGTTCTAAATGTCCTGTGTATTGATGACTCCATCCCATATTTCTCTTTAAAGATGGAAATGTTGATGGGGCAATGTAGATAAAATTGACTAATTGACCAGAATAATTGAACTGCTGAAGTTAGATAGAGGTTTACCTTTGCTGTACATGCACTTTCTGCTTTCAAAGTGCTTTTAACCCTTAGCTTAATAGATGGTATACATTGACCGTAATTAAAAATGTTTACTGAAAGTTATCAAAACACTCTCATTCCAAGGGCTTACAATATTGGTATTTGCCCAAAATTCTGAGCAATGTTATGCTCCTCTTCTGTAAATAGGCACTTTTAAATGCCTCCGGTTAAAATTGCATGGAACTTAAAAGTATCGCATCTGTGAACTGTTGCTGCAGAAGCTAGCCAGTTGCTGCTGTCCTGCAAACAGATGCCAAAGAATTGTAACTCTGAACATTATCTCTGTTTCAGTATCAAGGTCAGCTCTTCCAAGAGTGTTTGATCATTCCGGCAGAAGCTGTATGTTTTTGCTTATGAATGGATCTTAAATTGTATTGTCAGATATTGAGAATCAATCATATTTTTGTTTGGAAAGTCTTCATCTTCCAACTATACTGGAAATCTTAGATCTCAGTCAAAATATAGGTAGGGTGTGCCCAGCCTACAACTATCTTGTGTAAATGGGGTCTCATTGACTGTAGGCATCATCCAAAGAGAATCACCAATTCAGACACATGCTTCTGTCTACCCATTAGCTCTTCCTTTCCCAATTGCAGTTCCTTGCTTTTCATGGGAAGTGGTTGGCAGTGTGCCTCATTTTGGCGTGATATTCAGTGTATGGAAAATGCAGCAGGAAAGCAGACCAAGCCCATCTATGTAAGCAGGAACTCTCAGGGGAGATCTGGGGATCCTGGTTTATGTTTGCTCTGTTCATGGAACTCCATGTACTTTGTATGGGTTGCAAATCTCACCATTCAGAGAAGAATAGAAAGAAAGTTTGTCACATTGCACATCCAGACTGAGTGCACCTTCTCCTTTTGCATTCACCAGTGGGCTTGGATCCAGCACCTCTTTCTGTATCTGAGGAACGGCAGCTTGCAATATTGACTGAACTACCTTTTGTGGTTCCTTTTGAAGAAAGAGTAAAGGTACGTCATCTTTTTAACTCTTGTGTTTTTGACAGTAAGTATACACCAGTTAATGTATTTGTTAAATATGCCATCTTGCACTGCCTGTATCTTGAAAGATAGTGTGCCCCTTTGCCAGTAAGGACATTCCATCTGATCATGCTGTTCCAGTTACCACTGTAAAGATGCTTCAGTTTCAGCCTGTCACTTTGTTACACTGGAGATATAGCAACGATCTGCCTGCCTGAATCCAAAGGTCTTGTTGGATGTATACTTATCCCTCCATGAACACATGCACTGAGCCTTCAATTTTTCAGCTGTTCTTGTCTTACATGATCAATGGTTCCAAAAATGACATTGAAAGGCACTCCTGAAGTTTCCTTGCACTCCGAAAGTGGCTTGACAGGAGGCAAGAGGACCGTTATTGAAAGGGGTAGCCTCAGAAAACCCTCCAGTAGGAGTTCTGTATCCAAGTGTTTATCTTAGGGTTTGGGGAATATTAATGAGAAGTTGCAGAACAGATGGATTTCACTTTAGTCATTACTATAAGCCAGGTATTATTTGAAAAACACAAGTATAAAGTCCTACTAGATTTCCGGAATGGACTGTACAGTTATAAAGATGGTGACTTCAAGCTATAATTTGGTTATAACTCTGAAAATCACTTGTCCTTTCTAATATTCTAGAGAGTAGCTGTGGTTTAACGGTGGCTTTTTCATCTTTTTGATTTAAAAAACAACAACTTTCTAAGGTTCTTTTGTTGGCCCTGCAGCTTTCAGCTAATTAGCAAACTGAATTCCCAGAATCATGCTGCCATCAGTGTGTACTAGCACCATCAAGGAAATGAAAGATAGTTCCATGGGAGAAATAAATCACTGTTTCCCAAAAGGACAATGATAAATGTAGGGAAAACGTGTTGCTTAGCATTGGTGAGAGACTTAGAAGTGATACAAAACAATTATAATTTTAGACTTTATTGATATGACATGTTCATTCCCTAATGCAGTTTATATTACTTGTTTTTAACCATTCTATATCCTAACCTACTGATGTGATACATTTACAAACCCTCCAGTATTTCATTATTGTGTAATATAGTTTTAAATACAAGCTGATAAGTTGTGAAATTGTGGAATATTAAAAATCCATACTAAAATGAGATTACTTTACCTCCCTTCCCTTCCCCTCACTACTCACTTCATGCAAGATCTTTCAAAGGCTTATCTATGCTGACAAACAGGAGGTTCAAGGAGAAGGCCCATTTCTGGATGGAATTAACGTCACTATCCGAAGAAATTATATTTATGAAGATGCCTATGACAAACTGTCCCCTGAAAATGGTACAGTGTTTATCAATTAATGCTATAATATGTTCATAGTAATAAAATAACATGTCTTGGGAACTATAAAAACAAGAGCTATACACTTTTTGGATGCATGCAGACCTCGCTTCTAGATTGTGGACCAGTGCATCCTATAAATGAAGATAAATAATTTCTGTCTTGAAAACTGTGGCAAAATATGTGCCCTGATTCAGCATTGTACCCTTATGGGGAGATTTTATGTATTAACTTCTGTGAGGCACAGGTGAAATTGTGTTATGTAAAGATGTTTTCAAAGCTTTTGGTTTGGTTTAGAGAAAACCGGTTGCATGTTAGTTTATTTCAAGTTTCATGTATGTAAGAGCATAAACAGTTATCATGTGCTTCTTTTTTCAGTTTATTCATATTTTTTCTCATTCATTTCCATACTATCATAGCCAACTTTTTCATGCACAGTGGAGAACACACATCAGCCCTACCAATATGACCACTAGAAAACTCCTGGAAATCTTACAGAGACTAGTAGAATAAATTTACCTAAGTGCCCTGGTTTTGGAGACAGTGTGATCTGGGATGCACTGGCTATTAAAATTTATTTGTATCTGTGACGAAATATCAGAGATCCATCTGGACAATGATGGTTAATCTGTCCTCATGCACTGGAGTAAAAGAAATCAATTTTAAGTAAAAGTTTTCAGTGTTTATTTTAAGATGCAAGTCGCTTCAGTATAAATTATATGTACTCTTAAATGTGTATAAACGTCACTTTCATTTATCACAGTACCAAAATTGCCTCTAAAGGCAATTGTTTGCATTTGGATCTGCAGCACCAGTTAAAGTGCAAGTGTTTCTGGTGCTTGGGATATTAGCTATGTGTGTTGGGGTTCTTTCCTAGTTGCACATCATCATAATCCAGTAGACTCAGCATGGCTTTTCCGAACTTCAGGCTATTCAGCTGTTTTTGATTACTTCCCTCCTCCTACCTCTGGAAGACATACATGCTAATTTTATGGGAAATGTTACAGAACTTTAAAGTATTGTTTTTATGAACTGTTGCAAACCACCCAGAGACCTTCAGCTATAGAGTGGCATAGATGTGAAATCATTCTCATCTCAATTTTCTGACAAAGGTTTAGGGAACTTAATGTTTGCACCTATGAAACCTGGTACCAGTGTAATGTTCCAGGGGTTGCGTGTGGCCCTCAAAAGCCCTTACTACCCCGCAGAGTGCTCTAACTCTCTGCCAGTTTCACCACTGTTTATACTGTCCACAGTGTAAAGCAGGGGTCTCAAACTCACAGCCTGCGGGCCAATTGCTGGGACGGGTGGGGCACAGGGGAGGGGTCCTGCGGCCTTCAAAGTGCTGGCGATGCCCAGGCCAGCTGCGGGATAAGCAGCCCCCCACCACCGTGGGGGTGGAATACTTGATGCGGCCCAGCCTCACCCAGACTCCACTTCCAGCGGCCCCCAGGTAAGTTGAGCTAGAGACCCCTGGTATAAAGTCAGCATCCTTCCCCAGAGATCTTTATTCGAATAGCCCCTTTTTTCTGCTACTGCTAGGAGGAAGGAAAGAGCAATCTATCAAGGTCACTGAGTAGAATGTGTGGGCTATGCATGCATATAGCCCCCTGACCCCAAAGCAGCACTTGGATGTAACCCAGGGAGCCATCCAGGTTGTACATCCTTGCTGTAAGACATGGTGTCCAGTTCTTAGATAGTCTATAAATCTTACTGTGGCTGGATGCCCATCATCTCTTGGTAGAACTTAAATTATTTAAGAAACTTGGCTTTGGCCATTTACCAGTAGGCTGTTCCAAACAACTGTGGTACATTGAAAGAGCTCCAGCTCAGAATAATAGCAGACAGATTATTAGTCTTTCAAAGTAAAATGGAATGAGAATCCTTCTGTGGCAAAACCCTCTGTCAAAACATTTTTGTTGAAGTTCAGAGCACATTAAAATACAATTTTCAGCAAGTCAGGTGAATTGCTGAGCAGAACTGAAGCTCTAGATATAAAGCAGGAATGAGTAACCCATGTAAAACTAAGAAAGGGGGGGTTACGGATAGAACAGGTAGATGCAAAAGCTCTTGCTCAGTAACGCCCTTCAATTAGGCTGCAGAAACATTTCTTCTGTATGCAAGCCGCTATCATTCTAGAGCAATTATCCACACAGAAAAATCTTCACTGAACGGCTCCAGATCCATGTTTAAAAAAATACTTATTTGTGGGGCTGTTAGTACTAGATTTCTCTATATGAGAAGCCATTTCATTCGAAATATGTTGCAATATGTTTTAAAGGGGGTGGTTTGAGAGTTGGATGTCTCTTGTAGATAAGCAAGAAGACATAAATGTGCTATGCAGATTATTGGGTTAGTAAGATGGGCGTGATAGTGACATGTTGGGACACAAATAATTTGAATTCTGCATTTTGCTAACTCTTTAGGCTCCTAACTGCTTTGTATTTTTTCGGACTGTTGTTTCTAAATGTATGTATGTATGTATGAAGGGTGCTTAGACATTCTTACGTGACTTTTTTTAATTTCTCCAGAGCCTGATTTGAAAAAAAGAATTCGTGTTCATTTACTTAATGCCCACGGTCTAGATGAGGCTGGTATTGATGGAGGTGGAATATTCCGAGAATTTCTGAATGAACTACTTAAATCAGGATTTAACCCTAACCAGGGATTTTTTAAGACCACTAATGAAGGACTGCTTTATCCTAATCCTGCTGCACAGATGCTTGTTGGAGATTCGTATGCAAGGCACTACTATTTCCTTGGGAGGATGCTTGGAAAGGTAAAAGAAATTGCATATGAATGCGTGTGAACTACAAAGTGGGGTAGAAGTGGGGGATTGCTACTCTCAAGAATGGAGAGTGAACCTGGGAAACAGTAATAAGTTTTATGCATCCTCTCCCTTTGTTGCAGGAGAAGAAAAACTTCCTTTGGATGGCAGTGTTGTTTTGATCTGAAGTGTAGGCATCTAGCTGTAGTCTATATGTTTGACATTCTGAGTTCCTCAAGATGGCTTAAATTTTGAAGTATATGTGAAAAGCTGCACACATGAATTCAGCATAGCATTTCAGATCTTTAGCTTAATAAAAGTACCAAGTTTAGTATCTGTGTAGGTGGGTTTGACTGAAGGAAAATCCGTGTAAGCAATTTATAAACTACAGTGAATCCAGAAAATCACTGTTATGAAGCTACAAATAAATTCCTACATCAGGCAAATAGTCTTTCTGTCTGAATAATGGGTTGATGTAAAACCAAACTATGTGGAATAGTTACGGCTTCTTTCATAGCTGTATTTGCTCTTGCTTGTGACACATGGAAGAAGAGCACTGGAGCACAGATCCACAATGTGAGAATGATTCCTTTATTAATCACAGCCATTCTGCCGTTCTAAATTTCTGGTTTCCCCCTTACCTTACAGTCAGTGCAGCATATTCCGATGCAGTGACACAGGTTGCACGGAATGGCAAAGGTGCGCCAGGGCCATTTCAGTGAATCACGGAATAGTAGAGTTGAAAGGGGCCAGCAGGCCATCGGGTGTAACCCCTTGCTCAGTGCAGGACTCCATGCTAAGCCATCCCTCTCAGGTGGTCCAGTTACATCTTGAATGCTTCTATTGTGGAAGAGCCCACAACCTCCCTAGCCATTGTCATACTGCTTTAACAGTCAGGAAAATTTTCCTGATATGTAGCCTGGATCTGGCTTCCCATCACTTGAGCCCATTGTTCTGTGTCCTGTACTCTGGGATGAGTGAGATCCTGGCCTTCCTCTTTGTGACAACCATTCAAGTGCTATCATATCTCCCCTCAGTCTTCCTTCCTTGTGGCTAAATGTGCCCAGTTTTTTCAATTTGCACATAGGGCTTTGTTTCCAGCCTCCAGACCATGATTGTTGCCTTCCTGTAAGTCCTTTCTGGCTTGTCTGCATCTTGCTTAAACTGGAGTGCCCAGAAGTGGGTGCAGCACTCCAGACGAGGCCTCATTAGATGGCCTGGATGAGTTGTGGCTCTCTCATGACTCTGGTTTGCCTTGACATGGTATGTGATATAGTCCTTACCACAACATCTGGCCCAATCAGAAACCCTACACGATGATGATTATATAAGCAGCTGTATATAAACTCCTGGGAGAGTTTGTAAAAACTTACCTTGCCGACAGGTGAAACACACTCACCTTTACATTTTGCCTGGATATTAATTGCTTTAAAGTATAAAAGAAATTAAGAAGCTTGACTTATGATTGAGAGAAACCAAATAACGCTGTTGTATACTTAGAAATCAGAGGGAACCCAGTCACCTGTCATGTTGAAAGCAGCAGACTAGTACTGTGCAAGTCCTGTGTTTACACAAGGCACAAAATGACCAAGTTATTTAATAATTAGCTGCACCCAGGTGCAGAAATATCCTTTAACTGGCATGTTTGGAAAGCTGATGAACTCAGCTGCAAGATAAGGCACGGCCATACTATTGAATCACAGCCTTATTATTCTGTCCCTGCCACATTTGTGGTTTTAGTTGAAGACCTTGTTGAATATTTATTCATCCATTTATAAAAATGCCCCCATTTTATCCATTTGCAAATAATTTCTAAAATGCAGCAGTATGTTAAATAAAAGCCTTTGTGTAAATAAATTGCATATGCTGCAAAGGAAGCAGTCTGGTCTCCACAGCAATTTCATATTTGTATAAACCAAAAAGGCAAAGAGTGTTGCTGCTAAGAACTCTATATGTTGCAATGTTATCAGAAAACAAATACATTAAAATCAAATAATTTACATATATTTTGTGTTTAGGTAGCCCTTCAGTCAAGTATGCTTTAGTTAGTGCTGAACATCTCCTACATATAATAAATGATCTGTTTGTTCTTGTTCTGTTTTGAATAAATTGTATTTAATATCCACTTGTATATAATTTTTAAAAAATAACAGAATGTAATTATGGTGATTACAATTTTTAAAATGTTCCTTAGGTCCTGAAATAACTGCTTAATAATATTAACTCTGTCACTCTAAAATACCTCTGTGAAGTAGAGGTCATATCTGTTTAGGATTGTCATGAGGCCTGCAAATAGGTACAAGACACTCATTTCCATGTCACCTCAGAACTAAGTTCCACTGAATTTAATGGGGATTACTCAGCTACAGTCTTAATAGACAAATTGATTAGTATAATTGATTTTGAAACATTCTGATTGGCTAAAAGAGTTCCGGATTAAATGGGCAGTAGAGTTTTAAATGGTGGTGTGGCACTCCAACAGATATGGAGGGCAACAGACTGAGAGCAGGCTGCATTACATTTACTTTCTCTCACAGGAGGGAGTGCCTCCTCTACGATGATGCCCGCTGTGGCACACACAGGCATCATCTAGAAATAAAACAGGCCTTTTGCTCCAAAACTCTCAAAATGAAAACATGATTTAAGCAATAGACTAAAACTCTTGTTACTAACAAACCAAGAATTATAGGATTTCCCCATCCGAGGTCAGAGACAGATCTGCACTTTCCCCAATACTTCACAGTAGAGAAAAATTAACAAAGGAAGAGCCATGTTGGGTCAAAATGTGGGTCCAGCAAATCCAGCATTCTGTTCATAGGAAGCCCACAAGCAGGGCATGTGTTTGCTTGCAACTGGAGTGCTTCTGATGCTGGAGGTAACATATAGCCATCAGAACAAGAAGCCAGTGATGGCCTGTTGTTGAATGTCATGATCTGTCAAGGGACCAGATGTCTGCCAGAAGAATAGACAGTCTTAAAGTAACAGCAGCTGTAGTGAATTTGGTGAGGAGCTCTGGGCCTGTCTTCCGCTTCAAGAACTTCATTTATACACTCTGTGGTCCATTTGTATCTGCTAAAACAAATAGCAAACAAAAATCCAGTTCCTCTGTAAAGCTTCTAATTCTCCCAAAAGAAACTCTCAAAATAATTTCATTAGGTAAACTGTATTTGACCTTTGGTTCATGGCTCTAGCTATGCTGATTCAAGTCCATGCATGCCATTAATTGTGAAAAGAAGTGTGAATTTCTTTAATACAGCTAAACAATTTCCAAGTAATAAAAAGTGGCTGATGATTCAGAAATGGGAAAACTTAGTTTTGTTCAATAGATGTTAATGATCTCCCAATATGAATTTATTTTTAAATGATAAACACAAGTGGTGGTCTTGTTTATACTAGTTACTTTCACATAACCAATTATCTTTTCATTACAAATGACTAAACTTAGTACCAGCATTTATAAATATGTGTCCAGCACTAAAAGACTACTAAAAGTGTGGTATTTTAACACTAAATCTTTGAGAGGGAAATGATTGTATTGATTGATTGTGATATTTATTGGGTCATAATGTATTTAAATTTTCTTTAATGCATATGTTAGTGATTGTTTACTGTGATAAAGTGTGCAAAGGTCTCTGCAAGCAATTCTACATGGAAAGAATTACCTCATGTCACTGGTCACTTCTCAATTAAAAGTTCCATTAGCAGATGATTCCAGCTCCTGGTTTGTGTACTGATTGCATTTTATAGCTCCTAAATCAGGCTTCCCCGACAGGGAATAAATAAACAGTTAAAGTATGTGGTAATGGCATCCTGATCTTTTTTTGCCTCTGGAAACACCTAGGTCCATTTCAGTCAATTAGGTTCAGAATATTTACTGAAATAAATTGTGGTGTTTGAACTCTTACTGAAAATGAGTACTTTGCTGATTTGAGGGTATTGATTGGTCTTGAAATGTGTCCCTGCTATTTTAGATTAATGATAGTTACCTTCACACAGGTTTTTAAAATGTTTCATTTAACAAAGTTCTACTGTGTGCTGGTAATTTTCTTCTCAGAGCTCATGTTCATTTCTGCATGAGCTTGTAACAGGACAATTCCTTTGAATATACGAATTCAGGAATATTCATGCTGTGGAATGTCAGCAGTTATATATGCAGTGTTGTCCCAAGCACGTAGAATACTGTATACCATTCTAGTAATAGACTGATAAAAGTATTTTCACTTAGTAGTGCTCTTACATCTATGGAAACATATGCACAGGTGTGTGAAATGATTTGCAAAGTTTTGGTGGGAAGGTGATGATGTGGATTGACCAGAAGGCTAACCCAGGCAGCTGAACTAAGGAAAACCAAAAATTTCCAGCTCCCAAATGGATTCTTCCTACTTCCCCAGTCTAGAGTTTATCTGTGTTTCCTTCTGTTCCTTCCTTGCCTGATGGAAGAATTAGGATGCATTGCATTTCCAGTTGGGAAAAGCTGAAATGCTTATAGAAGCTATAGGGATGGTAGCAATGGCATTAAAAAAAGCATGACCTTTACTTGTAGAACTAACAAATGGACTTACCTTTGCATTATTTGGAGTGATCCTTAGATTGATACAATGACGCCTTCATGGGATGGTTGCAGTGGCAGGGGCTGTGCGTAAGCCCCTGCCATGGTGTCCAGTTGGGGGAGGGGGTCTGTCCACACTCCCACTGAGGGGGGCTGCTCTTCAGCAGGGGGATGAGGGTAGCCATATTGCTGCTTCTTTGACTGCTCCCCCGAGTTCCAGCTGTGTGAATTGCAAAGCTTTGTGCTGATTAGGGACATTTGCCACCTAGTGACTGAAGATGTTACTACTGGCTTCAAATGTGCTTTGAGATAATGCATCTTAACAAACTAACTTCCAAATGTACACCTATAGGAACCCTTTAGTATGCATGCAGTGTTCAGATGTCTGTATTTCATGGTCTTGGTTTTGACAGACATATACATGTCTTTATTGTCACAGATTTTTATAGTGCAGTGGCTCAGTGTAGCAATTCTGTGCTATTAATACAGTATAGGTCATAATATTATTCCTTTTTATAATAGAGATACATAGTTGGTTTTCATATGTGAGGAATAGTTTCTTTAGTGTAAAGAGAAAAATCATATAGACAATAAGTCTGTTTTTCCATAGACAGGAAGGCCAATTTGATACATCAGGGAAACACATGTGTTAGAAACGTTAAAAATATAATTTAGGTTTTCATTTTCCCCAATAAGTGCTTCTTAGATTCTTGGACTACAATCTCAGCATTTTCAACCCTGACTTATGTCAGTTGGGAAGTCAATGTACAGAGCATCTGGACAGCATCAGGTTGGGCAAGTCTTGTCTAGTTGATTTTCACATTTTTTTCCTTCTTGGTAAAGGTCAAGGTGCAAGCAAGGCATACTGCTTGGGAATGTTCTGTCATACTTGTGGCCATTCAGCCCATTGTGTTCTTGCTGTAACGATGGGCTACATACCTAACCTAACATGCGGAAGAGCTCCTAATTATCTAAATATCACTAATCATTCTCTAGCTCTGTTGTTCACATTACTGTGGATTGTGTGTTATGGTGTTCATCTTTTTCCCTGTGTTCCGGATAACATTCTGGTCATGCCAAACGGCATCTTAGGATAGACTGTGTTTTTAATTACAAGCCCCATAGACACTGGAGGTATAGTATTTTAGAGACCTGTATACTGGTACTAACTCCTTGAATTACCTTGCCATTTGAGTTAGGAAGACCGTATTTTTAGGCACCTTAGATTAGCTTTTAAGTGGATTAGCTTGTAATCACATCCCTTAGATTTCGGTGTCATTTAGCACACAATCCTGTGGCTTCTCAACATTGTTGGAGGGGGCAGAATTGGACCATTTAGAGCCCTAGGCCATAAGTTCAGCAGTTTCAGAGCTGGAACTCCCAAGTGCTGAGCCCTACCCTCCTCTTGCCAACATGGAAAGAACTGCACTGGTAGCTACTCCTTGGTAGGATTCAGCCTCAGAGAGGAAGAAATGGGACTTGCTGGGACCAGGAGGGAGGAGTCTGGGCCAACGGCTTATGCCATATCCAAGCAGGTCTCCCCATGCTTTAGATGCACATAAGTGTGGAGGTTTGCCTGCTTTGAGCATGGAAGGCATTGGAATAAGCTCTATTTCAAGGCAGCCGAAGGACACTACAGCCCCACCACATTATGTACAAGCAAGAAAACCTTAGCAAAATTCCTGTGAGCAGGAATTCCATTTGACTTTTTCTGTGTAATATCTGCTGCTGGAAGAAGATTGCATCAGCAAAATGGGGCAGTGGATTGTGCCTATAACGTAGTGTTCACTTCATTCCAAACTGTGAACTTGGATGCCTTTCTGTCATGTATTCTTTTTAGTTCTTAACTTGAAAATGAAAGATCAAGGTGAGCTTGACTTGGCCAAGAAAACTCCAGAAGACAGGACATTCATGCGTGGTGAAGCCTATTGTATTTTGCCACCTGGAAAGAGCAGAGCTCAACTGTGATTAACTTAACAAAGAATTATTACACATTTGAGAGATGTTCATTACAAAACTTAGCTTTTACTCTAATTGGAATATTAATGATTCATCTTACCTTGTTTATGAATGTTTCATTTCCTTTTTTTTTTATTTGGAAGAACTTGGCTACGGAAAGCTGCATTTAATTAAAATGACAATCAAGATTGCACAATCAAGGTGGCCTAAAAATGCTTTATATAGTTTTTAGATTAAGTTATAAATGTTTGCTGTGGAACTACCTGAAGATTGATAGAGATGCATTTGAAAAGCATTATTTTTATATTGATTCTTAATGTAGTAAATTACTAAAGTTATTTGGCAGCAAACAGAAATGGCCTGTGATGTTGTTCACATTTATTCTCCTGATAGCACCACAATTTGCATTAATTGCATTGGTAGTGCACTCACTTATATTAAAAGGCTTCTACTATAATTAATCCTTTTTATTTCAAATCATTTTGGCACAATTTCCAGCAATAAACACTCATAAAAGACAGACATTTGAAAAATAACATGCAGGTCCTTTCAATATACCTATTGCTATTTTCCCTTGACATGGAGTTATTGATAGGCTTCTAGGAGCCAGTGTTACATATGGCTAAGAATTAAGACCCACATGAAAAATGGTAAGTGGATTATTTTGCATAAAAAATAGACACTTCTTGAATCTGTGTAATTAACCTGTGTTTAGAAAATACCTTGATTTACGCCTACATTTGTATTTCAGTTGCATACATTATGGAAATTTAATTTATAATCCATTTAGCTGATGTGATCATAGTGTTTAGGGCCATCATTTATTAGTGCATGCATATTAAATACTTAAAGGCTTAAACCTGACTTGTGTTTTCAAAGAGTGAGATGGGGAAATAGGTGGAGTCTATGCAACTGCAAAAATATTTGGTGAGTCATCAGTGAAATCCTATTTTAATTTCAGGTAGTTTTGATATATATAACAAGGTAGTTTTGTGTGTGTGTTCTAAATTCAAAACACCAAACGTTGACCTTACAGATTAACAATTTACATTAGAAGTTTACTTTAAAAATTCAGCAACACAAATGAAAGGTTCAACTTCCATGTCAGTACCAAATCATTTATTTGTGCTTACGGAATACCTTGTTGACTTTGATCTCATTGACCATATATTCTTGGTGCTAGTAGAGTATCCTCCATGTGTTAAGGTATCTTTGACAGATACTTTTTCAGGTTTTTTTGTTACAATGGATGATCGGTGCTTTTTGCTGCTCTTTTCGGTGGTCTTGTTCATTCTTGTTTTGATCTTGCATGCTGAAAGTTTTGAAGTGTTGAACTTAGAAATAAAATAAACTAGCATTTCTGGCCTTATATACATTCATGTTTGTATAAAGTGTAGGGATATGATACGATAAATGAGTACACAAAACTAAAAGGTTTGGGTTAGGAATACATAGCATAGAGATAACCTAAAGTAGCAAACAGTGACCCAGTTAGTTGCGAGTTAAACAACCCATAGTTAGTTGGGCCCTTGTTGCATTCTGCCCTCTGTCTGCTCATCACTTCTACTTTGCATTTTGTTCTTGAGTGAAAACAGTAAGTTGTCCTTCAACAATTCAGAATTCTGGATTTGTACATGGTGTCAGAGAACCTAGGAACCATCCTGGGTCGTTGTGTATGAAAGTGGGTTCAGAATGGCAGGTGTGTGTGGGAGGCAGTGCACATGTGTGGTCTGGTGTGGTCCCACCAATTGAATGATGGCTGGACTGATGTTTCATATGGCCCAGGTCAGCCTCAACTTCCAGTGTTAAATTGAACTTAGCCATTAGCATGAATCTGCACAGGGGCATTTCTCCATTCCTGCCTCTTTCTGCCTGCTTGGCGTTGACCCATAAAGCAGCACATAGTTCTGATTTCACACCCAGACTGTGTATAAATGCTCTGAAACGAGTACTGCTTCATAAATATGGACGGTGGGGTTGGCATTGTCAAAGTGACATATAAATGAAAAGAGACCTTTTTATTTAGTGCTGGAAAATGGCTTTGTTTACAAGATTGGCCTTTGTAGCAGTAAATTTAAATGAAAGCTTCCAAAATGAAAGGATGCATCAAACATACCTGAGGTATATCAAAACAGGTGAATTAACATTCAGTTCTATTTTCCCCCCAAGGCATTATATGAAAACATGCTTGTTGAGCTTCCGTTCGCCAGTTTTTTCCTCTCGAAGTTGCTGGGGACAAGTGCAGATGTAGACATCCATCACTTGGCTTCCTTAGATCCTGAAATGTACAAAAACCTGCTTTTCCTGAAGAGCTATGAAGGGGATGTTGAAGAACTTGGGCTGAACTTTACTGTGGTGAATAACGACTTGGGAGAGGCACAAGTAAGCAATTCTTCCTTTCCATCCCTAGCACAGCTGGTTAACTATTAATTTCACAGCAGCATTTGTACTCAGATGTCATAGCGATAAGGCACGTGTCCAAGAATAGTTATTTGGGCAATGTGGAGTCAAAGCATATAGACTCCGAGCATTTTATTCCTTTGGTCTGATGCTCATCAAACCAAAGAGAGTCAGCTTGTAGGGCAAGTGGCACTTGCTTTTAGATACCAAAATTTAATCTTTTAAGAGGGAAATAATCATGTGAGAAATGGCTTATAGTTCAGTGAAAGATGTTTTGCGTTGATGTTACCTTTTTTCATTGAAATTGGAAGCACTTACATGTATGGATACAAAGAAAATGCTAAATCCTTCTTTACAAGGTCCAAGAAATATGTTTCATTCTGCTGAATTGTTTTCAGAGAACAGATGTTATAGTTAATGACTCTAACATGCTGCATTGGATGGTATAAAATACTGAATTCATAAATATTTATGATAACAACATGATTGGTAACTCTGTGAGCTAAATAATGCCGTCCAATGTGTGACCTGAAGTTAACCCTCCTACCCACTGAACTTGAAAAAACAAACATCAATTTGGATTCTGAAATGCACATCTAAGACTGTATTGATCAAAGATGCGTCTGTAGTGAAAAACATGAGCTAAAAGTAATCAGTATCATTTAGATGCTTATAGTAAATATCTTGGTGACTTATTAACACCAAAACCATTTTCTAGTTCTGGACAATACTTTTAATTTTTAAGGGCAGGATATGAACTAATTTAGTTGTACTAAGACTCATGGAACTGAGTGGGATTTAAATCATTGCTACCATGTCCTTCCTGTTGATTTGAGTGGAATACAGGTTTAACTGATTTGGTCTGGAAGCAACCCAGTGTTAGTTTGGCACAAGCCAATAAACAGATTAAGCCCCATTTCTGATTGTCAGTTCAGTTTGCAAAGAATATATTGGCCAGGATCCAGAACAAGCGCACAGTTCATTTTATGCCCCTGAGGGATGCTCCGGCTTGTGCCGCTCCCCCCCCCCCAATCCCAGTGTTGCATGAACAGTGTACAAATAGAATAAATAAGTACCTAATAAATTTTGAATAAATGCAACATATATCTACCATAATAAATTGCATTGGTCATGATAGTGCTCACCAGGCACTGGAAGCTGCATGATTCTGAATCTGACCACTGGTCCACTTAGATAAGGCTAAATACTCACCTGGTTGCATGACATGGTAGAGATCATTGTGGGTTATTTACCCACACCAAGCTGTGATGCCTGCAGGCCCCACTTCACATACCCAGCCCCCGCTTTGTGTTGTGCCATGCAAACACAATGAGTGTGGATTCTGCAAGAATTAAAGAATCCTTGTATGACACACAGAATGTTTAAGATTTATGTGAGGGCTTGCATGACATGCCAACCTCAAAGCAGGAGCTAGATATACAAAATAACAGCTGCATGTGTCTTGTTAAATAACCCATAACGGACTGTTGCATCATGTGAAACAGCACAATATTTCTGTGTTGAGGAGCAATGGCCTTTTGTTACCAGATTTACCTGGAGATGTTGGGGATTGAATCTGAGATTTCTTACATTCAATTTGTGTGTTCTCTTCTTTTCCTACAAAAACCTCACCCCTATTAAGGAAAGTAAATTGGAAAATGGATTAGCAATTTGGCTTCAGGGAAAAGTTGAGTTTGAATTTTACCAATTGGAACTCACCAATCTACTATGGGTGAGCATAATCAGTAGAATAGCAGTGGCTCCAGATGAATGTGGTTGCATTATTTTTGGCAACCATATACAAAAGGAGTCCAACCATGGAGACTGTTTTCTAGACCTGGGTATATTTCCACATTTGTGGGACAGAGAGTTTTAATTAGTTTTTAAGTCTAGATAGTGTGCCAGGCCCAGAAGGTTCTGATTTTGTTCCAGGAATAACTGGAGGGTATGGGAACTACACATACGGAGTGCTTCTTCAGCCCCCATTTCTTGTGGCCAGTGATCTTCAGCATGCAGGAGGTTGGTAGTGTGGCTGAAAGCATGCCGCACCAAAGCCCATCTGAGGCAAAATCAAGCGTTGCTTTGGGATGCCTCTGGTTTTCCTACTATTTCAGAAATTTGGAGGCGTACAAAGCACAGCTTGGTAGATCATGGTGAGATCCTCCGACTATATCACACAGAAACCATATTTGTGAGATAGACTCAGAATCCACCACAATGTGTTGTCGGCAGGCCTCTAAAAGGTTTGGGGAAACTGTTACCCTGGAGTTTCTGCAGAGCAGAACTAATTGATTCCTTGCTACGTCAAAGCTTTCGCTGGTTGTGCTTCCCTCCTCCCTAAGTATATATTAAAATATTTGTGGTCAGAATGTTAAGCATATTTTTAACAGTGGCTGCTCTTAAAATGAAATTGCGTTTTGCTGATAACTTTCTTGAAGACATTATTTTTGGTTGCATTCAAACTAAAAATGAAAGCTTTGAAAATACATATGTGCCTATTCAGCCTGTGAATTATGACCTCCAGCATAATATTAATAGTTACACGATGCCACCTAGTGGCAGAAGTTGTGACAAAAATAGGCCACATTGCTTTCCTGACTGCCAAAATTTAGGTCATATGCCCTTCTATGCAAGGACTGGTTTTGTTTGTTAATTTGTAAATGTCCATCTGTATTACTGAACAAATATGCAGTACTCTGTACAAATATGCATTCGTTACTGATTAACGGATTTTGGGCTGTACGGGTTGCTGTACCTCACAATATCATGAAATACAGTGTTAGGATTTGGGGTTAAAAGGTTACATACCAGCACCAAGGGAATATGACATTTATTTCATACAAATGTTTGTGTTTTACAGGTAGTTGAACTGAAGCCTGGTGGAAAGGATATTCCTGTCACTAGCGCTAACCGGATTGCCTACATCCATCTTGTGGCAGACTATAGGTTAAACAAGCAGATCAGGCAGCACTGCCTAGCGTTTAGACAGGGACTTGCCAATGTTGTTAATCTGGAATGGCTTAGAATGTTTGATCAGCAAGAAATTCAGGTATTGTTGCATAACTGTATAAACAGAACAATTATTTTACTAGTGTAAAAAAGTCCAAAGATTTGAGAATTCTAAACGTATATATTTCTTTTTCATTCATTCTAGGTTTTGATTTCAGGTGCACAGGTTCCTATTAATCTAGATGACCTTAAAACTTTCACAAACTATTCAGGCAAGTATATTGTAATTAAATGAGCTACCACAAACCAAAATCCAAGACTTGACCCAGAAAGGTCTACTACAATTATTTTTGTTGATTTCAGTGGAATAATTAACTGTATGCTTTTTTCTTTAAGATAATTAAAGGGACTTTGCTGAATTTTTTCCTAAGAAAATACTCAGCTCACTTTTTTGAAACAACACCTTTCCAGTTACAATTTAGTGACATTTGAACAAACAAATCTGGCGCCAAGACACTGAAAATAAAAAGTATTGGTGTAGTGTGTTATATTTCCTTAGAATTACAGAATAACCAAGTTGGAAGGGGCCTATAAGACCATCGAGTCCAACTCTGGAGAAGGGGTGTTAATGGCTAATTAGTAGATCCTCAAATTGGAGGCCTGCTTGACTTCTTTCTACTGATTTTCTCCATGCCGTGTATAAATTTATTGTATTTCTTTTTCTAAGGAGGCATGCTTTTCATGAAATGCATTCCATATACTGCCAAGGCTCTTTTATGCCATTGTCTGCTCATTGACAGAATGGGATTTTTTCTTTTAGAAAGGTATGAGAAGTTGGTCCCTGTTGCAAATGCACGTTGGCGCTAAAGTACATGAGCCCAAGTGAGCACTCATGCAAATCCCTCCCCCAGACTTAAAAACTGGCTGCATTTCCACATTACTGAGATGAACAACACCCCCACCACACACACACACACACACACACACACACACACACACACACACACACACACCAGTCCACTGTAGCATCTGCATGTCAGATTCATAGAAATCCAGATGCACTTGAATTTTGCTAATTTCTCTGATGTCAGTATGCCTCACTTGCCTTTTTTCTAAACTAAAAAGCCTCAAATGCCATCTCTCTTCATAGGGTAGTTTGTCTTGTCCCTTGATCATTTTGGTTGGTTGTCCTTTGCTGCACCTTTTCCAGTGCTGTATCCTTCCTTTGAGGTGTAACAGTAACAGCTGGACACAGCATTCCAAGACTGGTTGCACCACAGTTTTGTACAATGGTGCTACCATATTGCCAATTTTATTTTCAACTCCTCTCCTATTGATCCCCAACTTTGTCACAGCCAGCTAGGTCAAAGCTGACATGGAGTGGTCCTCCACAACCTGGAGGTCTCTTTCCTCGTCAATCATAGCCAGCTCAGTTCCTATTAGCATTGAGGTAAGTAACATGGCCCCATGTGCCTTTGGACACCTTTTATAGTGCCCAGCAAAACGCCTTAGCTTTCCTCCTCCTCCTCAGTTACTAATAGCTGGGGTAGCTTTAAAGCAAAGTGCATACCCCTCTTTCCCACCTCCTTTTTCCACGGTACTCAGAATCATTAATAGGAAATGTAGATGGAGGGTGGCTGCAGTGCATCCTTTCTGTGGTGGTGCCCAGGACAGTCTAACTGCCAATGGTACCCACAGGCCCCAAAGCTTTCCCTGCTCCAGTATTAGCGTATATGTAGATTTAGGACAGATTTGCCCAATGTCCATCGTTTTGCACTTGGTTACAGTGAACCGCACCTGCCTTTTTAAAGCCCATTTCCAATTGTTACCCCCTTTTGTTTAATTCGGTTAATTGAAAGTTCTAATTAGGATATATACATGGTTTGTATTGACCTTTCTCTGTGAAATTTAGACTAGGATACTTGAGGGTCCCAATATTGGTCTGAATCAGGCCTGCAGCAACTTGCAGTTGAAAGCATCTCAGGTGCCTTTAATTTCCTCAGCGTTAAAGGGACTGCAGGAAATATTCTCTGCACTTTCTTTCCTGTGCAAACTTTTCTTTGGCTGTTTCCAGAACCTGAGGCTATTTCCAACATGTGTCGAATCTGGTAATTTGTTAAAAACAAAACAAAACCGCTAGTTCTATTCATGTAGCATGGGATGTGCAGTTCCGTTGCTTTCCGAGTCCGCACAGCTGAAGTGTGGCAGTTCGCCCTCTTCCTTTGCTGGTGTATATGTACTGCAATTTGCACAGTGCAGCCTTCCTGCACCAAGTACTGTAAGAACTGAGAACAAAAAGCCACGAAGAGGTGTAACTTGGTGCTTAGCACAACCTTCAATGAGAATCTGTATGACCCATTAAGTATGTTCAGAATACACTGTAGAGTATCTTAAATGTGCAGTAGCAGTCTTTTCCAGATTTGATGCTATCTAATTTGCTTTTGAAAAATTGTAGGTGGCTATTCTGCAGATCATCCAGTAATCAAAATCTTTTGGAGAGTTGTAGAAAGCTTTGCTGATGATGAAAAGCGTAAATTACTCAAGTTTGTGACAAGCTGCTCACGCCCTCCACTTCTGGGGTTTAAGGTATCTGTTTTCCTATTACAGCCATAGTCATGATATAGTAATTTTTAAAAATGCTTTTAAAGAAACCATACAATAAGTAGATACGCACCATTTGCAAGGTTAAGTGCTAGAAGTTGTGCATGTATCTGTTTTAAATGTGAGGCTTAGATGGCACTCCTGTCCACACAGTGGGACTTACTTTTGAGTAGACGAGTATGAGAATGCTCTGATAGCTGCCTTTACACTGATCAAGCTGTGTAAAAAAGCTCACTCAATTGCCCAAATGGAAATAGGTTGTGAGCCTACAATAAAGCATGATAGGCAGTCAAAGAAGAGGGCCAGTGTGGCGCAGTGGTCAAGAGCATGGGCCTGGGACTCAGACCATCTGGGTTCCAGTCCCCACTCAGCCATGGAGCCAACTGGGAGACTTTGGGCCTGTCCCAGACTCTCAGCCCAACCTACCTCACAGGGTGGTTGTTGTGGGGATAAGATGGAGGAGGAGAATGATGTAAGCTGCCTTGAGCCCTTTGTAGGAAAAAGGCAGGATATAAATCGCAATAGAAAGAAGGAAGGAAGGAAGGGAGGGAGGGAGGGAGGGAGGGAGGGAAAAAAATGCATCCATCAGAGAAGGACACCACACATATGACTGATGATATGAGTAGTCAATGCAATAACACCAGGCTGTTACTGAAATCTAACGAGCACTTTGGTTGAGGAATAACATTCTATTATCAAATATTGCTTAGTCGAATCTAGATTCAGATATGTGTACCTGTGCTGGTAGAGGCAGATTTCCTCCTTTAGTTCCCTTGAAATGCTACTTAGAGGGTTGGGGAACTCTACTGAATGGGGTGAGCTATGTATAGGGGAATGCTTGAAAAGTGGACAGAAGCACCATCTGTAGGCAGTGTCCTTTCTACAGCCAATCCATCATTTGCCCATTGAAGTGAGAAAGTGTTACCATACTATATGCAAGCAGTACAGGAAGCTTCAGAAAAGCAGTATAATTCCGTGCCCATAATAAATGTTGCTGCAGTACTTGGAAGACAAAGAGCACCATGTACTGTAAGTAGTAATTAGTTTTTGCCATGAAATAAGTGGATTCATTTAATGAAGAAATATATATTGAGGGCAGCAATTAGAGCAAAATGCCTTCAGTAATTAATTGTACATAGCTGTATTAAAATAGAAGATAATTAAATGTTACTGCTAAGAACATAACTTTCTAATAGGCTGGCTTTGAAATCTTGTCCATACTACATCGTGAAACCTTCACCTTTTGCTAAAGTTAGCCCAGACACATTTAGAAGAATGCAGTGTGTCTTGAAGTACTTTACTTATAAATAGCACAGTCAGGGCTCACACCATTTTTTTACAGGGAGTTTTCAATGCCAGCAGCTTGAGCTTGCAATAACATATGCTAAAGCTAATTAAAGTTTAATAAGTTTAATAAATGAGATTGTTACAGACAAAAAAAAATCATTAAAGTGCAGTTGGAAACAGTTAAGTTCTAATCAGGTCACACAATAAATTGATGATGCTTCTCGCTTCTCTGCTATTGCAAATTCCCGTTGCACAGTATTTAATTATGCAACAAATGGTGCCCTTGGCTTGACATTTCAATATAGAACTTCATTTTTAACACTTTTAAGGCTTAAAGTAGGAAAATTCAATTAGCATTTTGAAAGGAACACTAAAAATACAGCATTTTAGCTATGACATACATTTTAAAGCCTCCATTTAAACGATAATTTAACTTAAAATCTCATTAACCTCCTGGCTTGGGGTGTTAGGGTTCTTTCTTTTTCAAAGTTTCTAAAACCAGAGGATCTATTTCCATGCACCAAGGTTTTGATGAAATTAATATACCCTTGCCAAGAAAGTAGAGCTTTGGACGTGACATGTGAATGTCTTCTCTGTTCCTGTCCTGGGGAGAGACTTCATTTTCTAAGAGATGAAGAAAACTATACTTCCGGTTTTAGAAAACTGTTTGGCATCATCACGTGTTTACGTCACGTGTTTGTATCCTGTCAGAGGCAGAGTCCTTAAATCAGCATTCTCCAACCTGGTGCCCTCCAGATGGGTTGCACGGGCTGGGGTGTGGTGAGTTGTAGTCCAACACACCTGGAGAGCATCAAGTTGGGGAAAGATGCTGTAAGTGGTTGATTCAAAGCAAGAATGGGCCCCAACAAACATGCTTCCCCAAGAACCTGCATGGTTTAACTATGTCGTGTTCTGCAGAATACTGTGTTTTCTGGTCACTCTGGTCTCCTTGCAATGCCAAAATAGGGATACTATAGGAAATAGATTGTTGCATACATTTAGAAATGCAAAGGGTACAAAGCTGCCTTGGATGCCATTTGGGGGAGGGCAGGGAGAAAGGCCGTATCCAAGCTAAATAAATAAATACGCCTCCATCTGGAGCCACAATCCTTAAGCCTGGGTTCAGAATGGTGTAATATCAAGGCCTCTTTATATGGAAGCTTATGAGCATCCTGCGCAGGGCAGGAGGAGTGACGGAGGTGATTTCCCTCCCCATCCTGCATTTGTGCAATAGGAGCTTTTTTGCCATCCACTGCAAGTGCTTCTGGGGGAGGCGGTGGGTGCTGGAGAGATCTCAGGATAGTTCACATTGGAGGTTCTCCCATCTCCTCACCTTTCTTCCCACCAAAACAACCCCCTTTTGGTGTTCTTTGAGGCGGCTTCCCTGATGTTAGAGAGGCAGCCACTGTGGTTCTTTTCACATCGGCAGCAATGGGGAAAGGGGATGAGAGAGCCACCTCCCAGTGCTGCCACTGAGCATAGAACTGGGAATCTGAAACGGGCCGTAGGATTGCTCCCTTAGTGTTGTACCACTGTAGGAGAAAAAATATTTAGAAAAATGGTTGGGAAACAGTTTGAGGATTCTTTAAATGTAAGTGTGGATAAACTCTTAAGTGCTCATGTTTCAACTCCTCAGCTTTAGCAATTGCATAAGAAATCTAACATTTTTAGTTGCATAATATATTTTTATTAGGTTTGTAATTCTTTTACTGTATTTTTAATTGTGTGGTAAAGGGCCTTGAATATCCCAAGTGCAGTTTGCACTGCTGTTAAGGAAAATTGGGGTGGGGTGGGGAGCCTGTGGATCTACTTTAACAGTTTTTTGGATATTGCCCAAAATCTCAATTAGGCAGCAAGTTAGTGTGCCATCACTGTTGAATAACAGAAGTATAAAAATTATGTGATAGGGAATAATCAGCTTTTAATTATCAATGTTTCAGCATTTTCCATTAGGGTTCCAGCATCTCCAGAAGCTAATATTGTTTTCTTTTCATAAAATTTTGTTTTGGATTTAGGAGTGTCTTCAGGGCCATTTTTAAATGGTATTTAGAAATGCTAACAAATTAATTTCTTCTTCTTTGGGGGAAGTTTGCTAGTTTCACCTTTCCTCTTTCTTCCCTTCATGAGGAATTATATCCTGCTTTTTGCATACACAATGGAGGCTCCGATTTAGAGCGGCTACCCACTGCCAGTACCTGCATGAATTTATTGAAACTTCCAGAATTTTATGATGAAAACCTAATGCGGAGTAAACTTCTTTATGCCATTGAGTGTGCTGCTGGATTTGAGCTGAGCTGAGCTGAGCTGAAGTTTTAATCAAATACTCTGTTGAAGGACTAATTGGTGCCTACTCATAAGCAACACCTATACCAAGAAGCTTAAGGGAATTCCATGTAGGTTTCTGCAGTTCATATCTCCTATTGAATACTCTCAAGTAGGTTTCAGTTTTAAAGCAAGATGTTAGTTTGCTGTCATTCGTTAGCATTTAACTACATTGATGCTACTTGGTTCTGATTCAGAGTAAGGATTGCTGTGTGCAATTTGGTAGGCTTTCAGAGAAAGAGTGTATTTGAGCACAGTAACATCTTTGTGAAAATAACCAAAGATGAAGCTTTGGCTTCTTGTTGTTCAAATATAAACAATTCCGCAAGCTGGCAATAAAGCGACATACAAAGCAGCCCATGGAGAAGAAACAGGGTGATGTCCGTGGAGAGGAGGCAAACAATCTGCAAGTGTCTTGGACCTGAGAGGCTAAAATATGGTTAGGAAAAGGGGCAGAAACTGTTTACAAATCTTTCTGCGTCTGCAAGTTATTGCAACTGGGGAAAATGTATTTTTATTACCATGGTAGTAAATGGTAGGCATTGAGAGAGAAATGTATTTCATCTGTGTTGTGTTGTGTTTCAAAAAGAAACAAAAACCTTCATTAAATCTGAATGGACAATGCCTTTTCTTTAGTTACTACCTTAACCAGTGTCATGATCAATCAAACTAACACGCCATGGTTTTTCCTCTGCTTTGTTATATTTTCTCCTTCATGACTGTAGTCTTTGTTTATGCATCCCACTTCTTTTGCATATAGGATACATATAATAGTTGTGACTTTGGAAAAGACATACCTGTAACAGCAATTAAAATAAATTTGAACAGAAGCATTAGGCTTTATCTTTTATATCTGAAAGCTTGTGGGTGTTCATGTACCCTTTTTAGCTTTCTTCACCTGGAATAACTATGCTTGCTGTAAAAACTGGACTGTCCTTTGTTATTTGTCATGAATTAGCAACTATGAATCCATTTGCTTAGCACCATCTGCTTGGACACAGGGAAGCGGAGTGTGTCACTAGACGATATTTAAGGGAAACGTTCGTTTCATGTGAAAAGTGGTGGTTAAGAATGGTCACAGCACTGGGTCAGCATTTGTTTTCATGTGCAATTCTCACTAAATTATTTTTATAATATAATTGGAACCTAAATCATTAACAGGTGGAATCAAGTACATCCTTTATCATCAGTTAAAAAAGATGTGAGTACTTTACAATTGTGGGCCACTCCATCAGCGGTCCTCAAGATTGAAAACTATTTTACTGCTGGAGAAGCTCCTGAATTTCATATTTAACTAGCAGTAAACAGCAATATATTTTAAATGTGCAGAAGAGCTCTGAGTGATTTTATGATGTTTACTAGTGTTAGTACAAAAATGTATAATTTCATGATTTGGATAAGAAATGAAGTGTTAAAAATACTATTTGTAGTCTCCATGTACAGAAATAAAACAATTGTTTTCTTTTTAGTTTTGCTGTTTTATTTATGGTAACTGTTATGGTACTCTTCCCATTCCGTTCCTGACAGTTTATTTGTTGTTTATTTGTTTACAGCATTTAAACACTGTTGTTCAGCCAAAAAAGCTCCCAAAGTGGCTTACATGGATTTAAAATAAGATGGCTGACTTGCCTGCCTTGTGTTTATTAAAAACATATATAGATTATGGAACATAATAAAGTCTGTAGAAATCCTTGGTAGGACTGCTGCCTTCTCTTAAAAGCAAAACCTGAACACTTTCCTTTCTAAAAGCATTATTTATTTTATAATCCAAAGCATTAAACATTTTTGAAATTATTATTTCATCTGAGTTCATTTGTTTGATTAAAAGTGTCATGTTTGTAACTTGTAAAATGCAAATTAAACTTCTCTGTTGAGTCATAATATTTCCAAGATTTTACTGGAGTTGTGCCACATCATAATGGCTAGGAATTGCATGCAGCACAGTTTCCCAAATATTATAGAGGTCAACTGAGCAGAACCAAGGGTGAGCCTGAAATTACCTGAGAGCACTGCAAAAGAGCTAGTTGAACCTCTTTAGTTATGTTTGGTTTACTTTATTTCACTTTTTCCTTTATGCCAACTGAAATCTACTGCTAATTCTCTTCCATTTTAGGGGTGGTTTGGCATGTGGCACAACAAGCTACTCTTCATGAAAACCAGAACAAAGCAGCTGTGGAAGCATTGAACTGGTTGTGTAATTCTCTAGATTTGGGTCACTTTGTATCAGATATTGTACACTATTATTTTAGTAGAACCTGAGTATTTCTATTATTGGGAAGCTTCAAATATGAGTTAATAAACAGCCTGACTATTGCTTAATGGAAGCTATGGATATATGAATTTTGTTAAATCAGCTCTTTCATGGATTGTCTTTCATTGTGACATCCAAATTTTGTTGTAACTGCATTGCATTTACATTCCTCCTTCCTTTTGCAAGGTAATTTCAATAGTCATTCTGTACTCTCTTTTATTCTCACAGCAACCATCCTGTGAGGTAGGTTAGGCTGAGAGTGAGGGATTGGCTCAAAATCACTCAGTGAATTTCATGGCTCAGTGGGCACTAGAACCTGGATCTCTTGGGTCCCCAGTCCATCAGCCTTAATCATCATTTCACACTGGTTCTCAATTGATCAAATTAGTGGGGGCTTTTGTAGGGGGATCATCAAGACTTTTGTTCCTATTTGCTCTTGCAAATTCGCTCAAGTGTGCATTTGTGCAAATTCCCCTAAAATGGTTTAGTGAATTCCCCTAAAATATTTTAACATTTTTTCCAAGTCCATAAGCATGAGTCCAATGAAATCCTCATCTTTCTTTGCTGTGGCCATGTTGGTGAGATATCCATAAAATGGAATTGTACATGCAGACAATAGGGGCAATCCAATGGGACATTTACGCTGCCATCAATTCCTTTATTCCCAAGAGCATGTGCTTCCCGCCCCTTGCAGAAGGGAGGTTTAGCACTTCTGGAGCAGCTAGAAACGAGCAAAAACGCTTGCTTCTGGAATGGCACAAGTCAAGGCAGATCATGTAAGGGACAATTAAGAGACTAACACATCCACTCATTCTTCAGAGACACTAAATCTCCCTTGCATGAGTGGTGGATCTTGCTTGAGCCATTGTTTGCAGAGTGGAATCAGCAGGAAAGAGAATCCAACCCTGCTGGATTCTGGCCAATGACTAGAGATAGTCCATTATCTAATCAGCAGCACATGGTTGGGTTTTTTTTACCTGCTCCATCCTTTGAAGAATATTTCTGCACTTTTCCAAAGTTTTCACCCAATGAAACTAATTTTAGCTGAATGCATGAATTCTTATGTGCATTTCATTGATGCAAACAGAACAGAACTGAAGCTGGAAAGCGGCGGAAGGAAGCACATTGTTCCTTTGTTTTAGGTGATGCATGTCATATACTCTGATGCAGGCACCTCCAAAGAAGCATTTCATGCCACGTGAAGAGGAGAAATGCTTCCTTCACAAGGGTGCCTGCCATCCATGGCCTTTGTCAGTATGAATATGATGTAGCAGCACAACAGGAAAACAGCAAGGGTAGCAGTACTTCTTCTTTCAGAGGAGCTGCTCTCTAACCCGTAGACTTGTCCCCATGCAATGAGTGTGTCTTGGTCTTCAATAAAATGGTTACCTTTTCTCCTTTGTGCTCCTCACTTTGGGGTGGGGCACAATCATGTGTCTGTGAAATATCAGTTGTATAAATAAAAAAGTAGAACATGCGTGACAGAAAAGAAGGACTTTTCAAGCCTGAAGGCCACGCACATCTTCAGTGTTGGGTAACTGCTGCAAACTCATCTTTCTCTTTGTTTCTTTATCTTCACATGCCTCAGAGGGATCCTACAGTAAATAATAAAATACAATGAACAAGTCAGCTGTCTTTGTCTTGTGTGTGCACACTCCAGGATTGGCCAGTCATCTCCCCACCATTTCCTGCCAGGTGAGGAAGTATTAAGCAGACTACTCTGGGCCCCAACCAGGATCCACCCAATAAGGAATACTCGGCCAGTAACTGTTTGTTGCTATGCACTGTCGTCTCTGGCTTAAGGTACCTCTGAGTGGAAGCGCTTCCAAATCTCTGGTCCTTGACAACCCTGCTCTGCTCTTGTAACCTCAAGACTGTATATTTATGGCATTGATCCATTTTGGATTTGGTTATCCTCATCTTCTGCCTTTGACTTTCCATAGTACGATGGGCTTCACTGAGTCTTGACTTCCCAGTTTTGTCATTTTTGCTACAGGAAAATGTTCTGTAGCTAGATCTTACCTTAGATCCTACAGTTCTGGCTAGATCTTACCTTAGATCCACTTGCTCATCTTTCCACTGGTCCAGGGAATTTGCAAAACCATCCTCCAGCACCATCGTTCAGATGCATCAATTTAGCAGTAGCCCAAACGGGCCAAAGAATTACCTGCTTCTGGAGGTAGCCATGCCATTATGCAGAGCAAGGCAGCAAACACTGGCAGAAGGTGAGCCACACATGGGGGCAGCAGCAGTGGTGGTGCTCCGACCCTCCCCGGGGGCGGGGTGTTCCCCTAAACTAGCCGGCTGCCCCATTACTAAAGTTGGACACAGATTCAAGTGCCAGTGCATCCAGCTTTTGTGTGAATGTTGGACAGGGGGCATCATGTTATAAGCCAGCCTGTAAACTGCCCAGGGAGCTCAAGCTATTGTGCAGTACAAACAGGACGTGGTTCCTCATCTCATGCACTCAGTTGGGCTCGGCTGTGACTGCTTCAGAGGAATTATGACCAGGAGGGGGGGGGGATTCCCTATGGCCTCTCCGTAAGTCATGCACTTCAAGTGGAGCCTAGTGTGGATGGATGGCTTTCTTGACGCTGTTCCCCACACCACCCAGTACTTTCAGAGAAGCTGTGGAAGCTGCCACATCTGTGGCAACCAACATGGTTGCAGAAGTGCAGAAATCCCCGTGAAGGGAGGCTGCAACATCTGGAACTGCTTAGCTTTGAAAAAGTGTGAGAACTGGGAGACTCGACAGGATGGGAAGAGAAACTCTCATAATTGTAGAATCCAGGGTCATCCTTTGAGGTTGAATAGAAATGATTTGGGCAGATAAAAGGAAATACTGCTTCACACAGCACATAGTTAAATCATGGAATTCATTACCTCAACATACGGTGATGGCCACAAACCTGGGCAGCTTTAAAAGATCAGATCTATTCATGGAGGATGCAGTGTTCCATTTCTCCTAGTTGGGGAGGGGCACATCTGTGCAGCCAGGTGTGTTTCCGGGTTTTAAATGTATCTGTATTGTATTGATTTGTTTCTGTGAGCCATCCCGAGGCTATAAAGCAAGGGGACCACATATAAAAACTTTAAATATCTGTATTCTTATGGCACATGATTAAATGAAGATGTCAAGAGTGAAACAACACCCAGAGAGAGTCTGCTGGGGGTGCACAATTGAAAAAATATTTACAGTTTATTCAGACATACAGGAAATACATCTGGCATGTATGCAGCCCCTGAAGGGACGACAAAGATGGTGTCTGTACAAGATGCTTTTATAAGCTATCTGTTACATACACAGTTTGGTGGACCGTGCTGGATCTGGTGGGAGACCAGGTAGACATCTTGCTAGAGGCGCGTAAGAATAAAACAACAGGGATTAAGGCAACACAAAGAGAACCTTCAGAACAGCAAAACATTAGTGTGCCTCCAAAAGACCTTTCAGGACAGGGACATTAGCATTTCGAAGGCCTACCTGGGAGGCAAGAATCCAGTGTTCTTACAGTGCCAGGATTTTAGCAGCCATATTATGGCAAATCTTTTGCTCATTTTTGCTCATTTTGTCCAGGCAAAGACAAAAACAAAGCAAAACACATCGTTGTTCAAATGATCCTGAGAAAAAAGCTTCATAAATTCTGTGGGGCCCAGATACAGTCTGAGGCAGTAAAAATGAATAGATTTTTAAAAAATGTGCTAGGAAGCTTCATCTAAGGTAGTCATACGTTAGTTATCTTAATCAAGTCTGGACCTTCAGTCAGATGACCAGAAAGAGGAGCATCATTTTAAAAAGAGGTTTGAAGGAAGGATTTTGAATAAGCCCAACAAATTAATGGTCAAGTAAGTATCAAAAAGGGGCAAGGGGTGCATAAACTGACACACACACTTTTGACCAACTTTAAACTAAGAAAGGCTTGTGGAATTGTGACAGAAATATGTTAATTTTTGACTCTGCAAGGCCACTCTTCCTCTTAGTTTGTAGCTGGCCTTGAAACAGCACCCAGGAGTAGTTAAGTATAAAGTTCTCTGACCTTGTGTAAGAAGGAAACTATTGAAGAAGCGCCAGATCCTCTCTCACATTTGCCCAGAAATGTTTTTTGTTCCTAAGAGAGGCTTAGATTTTAAAAACCATGTGTTGAGTTTGTAAAGGCAATGGCTTCCACGAACTCAGCTGTACCAGGGGAAGTCAAGACAATAATTTTAACAGCATTATATTTATGCTATTAAATGCAATTTAACTCTAAGTAATGGAATTTTGTATGTATATTTTGTGTATGTCTTAGGGTGGAATCCTGTGCATGCTTGTCTCTAGAGTAAGTTCTACAACTCAGTAGGATTTGTTTCTGAGTTGACCTACACAGGATTTATTATATATGCAATACCAATGTGATTAATGGGCATCCTGTACTTCCAGTCTAGTGAGCTTTCTTCACAATAGCATAACAAAGGTGAAGCAATGCCGGATGAATCCCTAGGGCAGCCATGGGGAAGAAGGAAATAGGATGACCACAGTCATCCTTTTGCAACTAGTCTTGCTTTCCCAGCAATGATTCTGTGGGTTTTCCCTACCATGGAAAAATCCAAATTTTAAAACAGGTTTGAACAGTTTTGCAAATGCCACTAGTACAGATGTGTCCCCAGTCTGAATCTTCTTTTTCCCTGAAAGTCCTCCCGTTCTCTGTCCATACATCCATTTCTGCAGACAGAGCTGTACGTGAGAGAGACAAGGTCTTTCAAAGATACACATGGAGACCTCAATTTACCTAGAAGAGGGCCCGTGCAGTGGAATGACCTCCCCATGGAGGCCCATGAGACGTATCAGTTGTTTTAACAGGTCTAGTTTTTAATGAAATCACATTATGATAATACATTAACACCCTGCTTTTCTTCCTGCAAGGAACCCAAGACAGCACTCACAAGGTACTGTGAGGGAGGTTAGGCTGAGTCCATGATGGGCACAAAGTCACCCAGTGAGCTCAGGGCTGAGGGGGAATGAGAGCCCAGCTCTCCTGAGCCCCAGTACTCTAACCACTACACCAGACTGGCTCTCAGAGTGCTCTAGTTACTGAAACCATGCTACATTTTTGTAAATTGGAATTTTACACTACATGTTACTGCATTTTATTGTCAATAGTTTTCACTATTGTACCTACGCTTATGAATTAAGGACACAGGAAAAGCCCGGCTAGATCAGACCGGAGGCGCCTGCAGCCCAGCACTCCGTACACAGGGTGGCAAAACAGCTGCTCTCGGGCTCCCTCAAGCAAGATGGGTGCAAGTCTGAGACAGAAGGCTTCAGCAAGATTGAACAGCCCATAATAAGCTAGCTTATATGGATGAGTGCCTTTTGCTATTTTTCCCTGCAGGCTTCTACACACACGTGCGTTTTCTGTTCAGGACCTAGCACTGCTCCTGCCAGAAATCGATCCCTCTTACCTTCCGCCCCTTCCGGATTGCGGCACTGTTCGGCAATTGCTTTCTCCAGCAGCGCAACGCCGCCAGGCCGCCGCCAGGGGGAGCACAACCCCGAAACCTTTGCCGGGTGGGAGGGGAAAGCCAGCGGGGCGGAGCCGAGGACTACTTCTAGAAACTTCCGGAAGAGACGCAGGCTTCCTCCTTCCCTCGCGCTCGCTCACATCTTTCCTCTGCAGGAGGCGGTCACAGAGACAATAGCTTACAGAGTGACGCATTCTTTCTTTGGTTAAGGTCATTGCAGGTTTACGCGACCAAAGGCAGAAGTGAGAGCTCTGCATAGGAATCATGCTGCTAAGCAGGGAAGAGTAGCCGCAAAGAGGGGCCCCCACGTTCTTCTACACCTTATTTTATGATGCATCAAGCAATCAGCTGTTTGGTTGAGTTTTTAAAAGGGGAAATCCTAGGCATGTTTAGGGAGGAACTCCCCGAAGCCCCCAGTACAGCACCCTGAAATAGGCTGGGTTTTGTGGGCCTATTGTCCAAACTTGCACGGGGTTGCGACTTTAGATGTTTTGAAGCTCGTTTTGTGCCTTTACTCGGGCGATATTAGAAAAGCGATGAACGTCACTCTGGATACTCCATTGGCCCCTCCTGCTGGAGAGTCCCTTGAAATCTAGGATTTCCCACGGAGTTATGGAAACATCTTTCACCTGAGAGCCGGAGGGGAGGGCGGGGAATGGAGAGAAGAAAAGGCGAAACCCATGCGACTCTTCCTTTTCCTTTATCTATGGAAGGGAGGGGCCAACGGCGGCTTTTCCCTCCGCGTTCTGCGTGTGACGCATTTCCTGTTTGCGGCCCTCAAAGAAGAGCTGCGGTCGTTGCCATCAGTGCTGCTGCTGCTGCTGCTCAGAGAGCGGGAAGCGAAGCGACTGAGGGAACGAAGAGCGCCGAGCGCTGCAGTCGCTGGCCTTGAGAGGAAAAGGAGCTCGCAGGTGAGCGGCCATGGGAGGGCGGGGAGGGCCGTTCCCGAGGCACTTCGCCCCCGAGGCAGGCGCGGCGGCGGCGGCGAGGAAGGAGGCAGTTCTGAGGGGATGTTCTCTCCTCAACAACGGGCCTGGCGTCTCCCCCCCACCCTTATCCTTTTGCGTCTCGTGCTCGCTTGCGATTGGCTGGTTGGCGCTGAGGGGCCTCGAGGTGACCACCGATTGGCTCGTGGCGGCTTTCCATCTTTCCTGGGCCTTCCCTTGAGAATCCTCCGGGCGCTTGGGTCTTCCCTGCTGTGAGGGCTGCCTGGGCCGGACATCTCCCCGCTCTCCTCGCCGTCGTTCTCTCCTGAGCCGCTGGAAGCCGGGGGCGAGGGTCGACGCAAGGCTCACCCGCCGAGGCAGGCCGAGTCGAAACACGCCTGGCGCTTTCGTCGTCCTCGCAAAACAAGGGGAAAGACCCTTGCGGAGTTGAGGGAGGGACTCCGGCTGCCTTTTCCAAGTGTGTGTCTTTGAGGGAAAGTGGCACTTAGATTCAGAGGGGAAAGCTTTGCTGACGTGATCAGACAGACAAAAGCCTTGTATAGAGACCTATACGTTACCAGAGCAATTTTAAATGGGCCCTTCTCCAAAATGTGAGCTTAAATAACTAGCAGTAATTTAAGTCAGGCAAAACCAGAAAGATAAACAATCGAATCATTTATTGCACGAACGTCTTTCCGTGGCTGCGGCAGGTTTTAGTGCATGAACTTTGTTCTCCCAAACCTCCACACAATCTTTTATTCTTAAATCCGCCGTAGTACTTGGTTTTTTAATAATGTAACAGGCTAACATAGCCATGGAATGTATTAATGATAGACAGTGGAAAGAACTGTTACTATGTTATTATTCTCCACTTTGCATTTTTTCTTTCTGCTCTGTAGTTGAAAGCATTCTTAACAAGAGAAAGAAAAATGCTTTGAAGATGTTTGCTTAAAGGCAGTGGTTCTTGGATTTGAAAAATACAGTGAATTGAGACCAGAAACTACTGCTAGAAACAGCTAAGCGGGATAAACGAATGATTTTGTGCATAATCGCTTGGAAGTAATACTGAATGTTGGAATTGCAAATGTAGAAAGCCCAGTATTTAATTGGCAACAATAACTTCCTTGGAGAAGTACTCTTCTGAGAATAGTAAATCTTTTTTGTTGTTGTTTATTAGATAATTTAATAAATACTGGGCACTTCAATAAAGCACAATTGAGATTGCTTGGTTAGCATTTTTACCTAAAAGGGCAAACTGGAGGTCTCCCATTCTCTCTTGTGCCAACTATTTCATCCCCCTCCAAATCAATTTCCACATCTTTGTTTTCCTTCTGTACTCCATTATGGCCCCTATTGTTCTTTTTTCTTTTGCCTCCAATAGTATCTTTCAGTTTCTTTTGATTGGTCTACTTAGCTCCTCCTCCATTCCCTGTGTTTTCAGTCACTGCACTTTTTATCTTCCCCATACTCCACACAGATAAAGCTCAGCATAACCCGGACTTCCCTCTCCTCTCTAATCACCTTGAATATCTATTATCCAATCAGAATGGAAGTGGGTTGTTCAGTGAAGAAATAGAAGACTAGCATAGGCTGGCATAGTGCTTTGAGAGGATCTTTAGCTAAGTGCATGCAAAAAGACTCTGGTTTAATCCTTGGTATCTCAAAGTGGGAAATAGGAACTCTCCAGGGTTACAGGACTATCAGTCAGTGTTGGCAATATTGACCTAGGTAAACTGGGGTCTGACACAGTGTAAAAGAGGTCACTATGTTTTCTTTTTCCTCAATAAGCAGTTTGGTGTAGATGGGGGCACATAGCATGGCAGGCCTTGGAGAGCAACATGGTGCTTATGGACATAACATTGGAGACTGTAGGTATAACCAGTAAATCCAGCTAAACTTAGTCACTTTGTTTAAAGAGAATTTGAGGCTTTGTAGAAATCAAATACTCACCTGTGCTACATCTGGCATTTTTAGTAGTAGTATAACCATAGTTCTCAATTTGTAAGGCTTTTGGATACCTGAAAGGAGATCTATGGTCTAGAGAAGGATTGACAGCCTCCTTATTGCTTCTAGGAGGCAACATACCTGTAACATGTACAGGAAGAATAGTTGCTTTGTTCTAACCATAGTGTGTGTGGGTGTGGAGAAGTGGTTGGAGGAGGTGGTCACTTAGATTTCTTCCCTTACCCTTTGTTAATGGAGGCGTTGCATTAATACCTGACAAATTCTTAGGTATAACTGCTGGCTGTACACAACTGCATATGAGAATGATGCTTGTTTCCTGTGTGTTGGAATGCACAAAATGGGTTAACTTCCCAAATTATTTCAAAAACACTTCTCTTTGGTAACATTTCATATTATCAAGGGAATTTAATTGATCTCCAAAATAGCCTAGTATGCTGAATGAATAAACTGAGTTTACGGACAAAAGTCTAATAAATGGAACAGCTGGAGTTCTGGGCCCTTCACGTTTCTATGATGCTTTTGACTGCTGTGTAATGTTTTTATACTATATGAAATTGTTGGTGGTTAAACCTTGTATGACCCAACCTGGGAAAATTTAAGTAAGTTATAAATTTAATAATAAAAAAGTCTTACTTCAAGTTGGTGACTAGCAGTAAGGCTAGCCAGGGGACAATTTCTGAGGTGCTAGCAATTTTGGGGCATCCTTACATTCCCCCTCTGCCAGAATTTCTAAAATCTCAATGGAGGTTAAGACGACAGGGGAACAATAGTAAAGGGAGTCATTATTTTCTTAAAACAATACATTATAACAAAGCATAACTTTAGGTTACTGCAGATACCACACTGGAAGTTCTTGTGTGCCATATCATGCAACTGTTCCCACTGCCTTCTATGGTGGCTAGGGTCAGAATTTGAACAGGATGGAAGAATATATAAAACTATATATGTAGAACTAACATATTAAATATATCTGCTTTAAGGGAAATAGAAATAGCCTTTGAGCTGAATTTGAAAGTCTAGAAATAGTGATTTAACAAATGCTAGATTGGTCAAGCAATTTTAGATAGGCTTACCCACTCGACCTGGCACTAGTTTATACTGTGGTTAGAAATGTTTTTGTTCCTTTGCTCTGCATTTCTAAATATTTTACCCTCCCAGCTGAAGAGCAAAATATTGTCATCTTGCTCATAATCTGTCATCTTGTACAAAATCAGACTGTTGTTTCATTGCTATTTATTTCAATGTCCCAGTTTGTATATGAAGGCAACCCGTAGGTGGGAGTGCCTGTGTTACCCCCTGTTCTCCATTCTCACTTGGCACTCCCAGTAATGAAACCATTTTTATATATTTGGTCCTGCTACCCATGCTTCTGTTTTCAAATACAAGTTAGTCAGTTTATGCAATAATGCATGGTGTTCTACACAGCAATAAATAGACTGGTCAGACCATACCCTTTTGCATTATTGGAGCAGTACAAACAAGAGTATTAGACTTTGGACTTTGAGTACTACAGGCTTTCAGGAAGTTAAGGACTTCACTCAAAGCAGAATTGGAAGGCTAAAGCATAATTTCAAGATCATTAAAAAAAACTTAAGATTGAAGGATCAACAAGATACTGTAACTGTGTTTTTGAAGGATTATAAAGTTTCCTGGAAGTAAGTTTCCAAACAGCTTTTTACAAGAATTTCAAGCATAAATATCTAAAGATGGGCATGTGGAAAGATTGATCCAGGAAAGCTTCCAGTGTTAGATCTGATGTGATGGAGAAAATGCACAAGAAACAGAGCTGAAGCCCGGAGCAAGCATGTTGTTGCCCAGCAACTATTGTTTCAATACACAAGCAGTGAAAAGACAGTTTGCAAAAGGCCTCTTTACATTTCAGCTTGGTCAGTAAAACTGTTTTCAAGGAAGAAACAGGCGGTCTTAATGCCACAGATTCCCATAGCTGAATACAAAACAGGCAAGTATCCAAGAGTACTGAAGAACATGGGAAGGGCCTAGAGAAGCATAACAAAAGTATTGCCATTTAGGAAGAGCTGAGAGATCAAGTTCTGTTGGTAGGAAAAAGTTTAGCTTTCAAACTAGAAGTGCAGGATTATGATTTCTTATTTCGTATGTAAAATTTTGCTAGCTAAGCAAGGGATATTTAAGCCATGGTTCTTCAGTTTGGCATGATCTACATGTATTCTCCACTAGTGGTGTGCTTGTCTGATAATAATTTAGGAGGTTATTAAACTTAATTTGAAATTTCACTTGCAATGCCTCTCATTGGGGTTGTGGTAAATTTTGTAATTATACAGACCTCTTGTTTGAAGTTTTATTAGCAGTAGTATCTGCTGAAAAACATGTAAATACAGAAAACATACCTTTCTGATTTCTATTTAAATGGAAGAGATGTGCTGCTTTCATTTCCCTTCTGCTTCAAGTGGTTGATAACTGAGTGCATATCTAGTCATACTTGACAAACTTTGTGTAGTCTTTAATAAAAGAGAGCACCTGTCTGTCTTGGCTGTCAGTAGTACAGCACCAAGACACTGAAACCAAAATTATCTGTAACTTAGCATGCATACTAAGGAAACACAAAGGGTGTGCACTTAAGGATATTTTGTTCTGTCTGTATGGTTAAAGCCTGCAGTAACAGTGTTAGCCACTAGGCATAGGCTGCTCTAGTGTCACATAGCTATGCCGTCCATACAGGTTAAAGCCAGAGATGGTAGGTAGGCAAAGAGAAGTCCTTTCCCTGCTACTCCTTCCTGGACATTCCCTGAGAACAGCTATTCCTCAGGGTAATGTAACGGACAGATCCAACTCTTAGGGGGCTATGGGAGAGCATCATAGGCTGGGTTATGCCTGGGGGTGCTAGTAGATAAGAGCAAGCACAGTGTGTTCACCTGACAGTTGCAAGAGTTTGACAGCTTTGTTCCAGTTTGAGTAAAGCCACCTCCATTTGCAAGGCATTAATCAATTGCATATATTTGCAGTGACTAGATTCAAGATACGATGGGCCTCAGCTCAGAGTT